CAGTCCTTTCCCTTTCTAGCCTATGAACTACAGTCATACCATGGAGTTCTGCACTTCCTTACTCAGTTATATATACCATCAAGCACTTCCAGTCTTGCAGAATCTGATACATTTCTTGCAGCCTTTCATGCAAACACCATGCGTTTAGACTGTGTACCTTCCTTCTCAACTGTACGTACTTCACATTTTTTCACTGTCAGATCCCAGTTTCAAATCTTAAAATATCCAGCAGATGCTCCCATTAAAAACAAAAACAACAACAAAAAGGTAGCGGAACAAAAAGACAGCACTGGCGTAAAACTTACCCTGCTGCCTATAAACTACACCCAATATACCGCTGCTATGCGCTTTCCTTCTTGTGCCGTTGCACCTCTTGCAGTCTGCATCCAAACTGAAAAGTTTCCAGCTACAGATACAAAGTTTCCAGCTTGCACAGATAAATGTGACAGGACAAAAACATACTCCGACCTTGCCCCCTTACATCTGAAAACTTTCATATGTGTCTCAATCAAGTCACTGTTCCCTTGCAGCCAGTGAACTGCAGCCACACAGTCACTCTGCACTTTCCTACTACACTATGTACACTACCAGCACACCTTCAGTTATGCAGAAGAAAATGAGTCCATATAACTCCAAACACAGAGGTATGCCAGGACAGAACCAGTTGCTAGATAATTCTTTCTCACAGCAGCATTTCAACAACACACCACTCACCAGGGCTATGCACCTTCCTTCTCAGTTATATGTAATGCCTCACTTCTTCACTCTTGCGGAGCCGAACTTCAAATCCTAAAATATCCAGCAGCTGCTCCCATAAGAATGGTCTAAGAACAAAAACCCAGCGCTAGCCTACACGTTCACCCTGCAGCCCATAAACCACATTAAAAACACTGCTGTTATACGCTTTTCTTCACAGCAACCACCTCACATTCAATTGCACAGCATCTAAGGCTACACCAAATTGTTTCCACATAGAGCTCAAATATGAAAATGTGCCAGCAAAGAAAGCTTTTGCACACACCCCTCTGTGCTCTGCACTTTTTTCCCCCAATCTATATGTACCATCACACACTTTCAAGTCTCATAGACGCCGACGTATATATCTTCCTCTCAATCTTCTGTGCAAGAGGTATAGCAAGCTCCTCAGGCATTGGGAGATAGAAAGTGCATGATGGTAGTTAGAGCTGAGAAGGATGGTGCAGAGCAGGAGCCCAAGCAAGCTTTTCTCCTAGCACATTTCTCTGTGCAAACTGTGTCTGGGAATTTTTCTGTTTAGATGCACCCTGCAAGAGTCACAGAATGGGATAGTCCGAAGAGAAGGAAAGTGCAAGGCACCAGCCTAGTGCAACAGTTTGCTGCACTGTTGCTGTCCTCACACATTTTTCTTTGCCAGAAGCAGTTAGACATTTCGGACTCCGCGAGACTGAGAAAGGCGTGATGCTCCATAAGGCTCACACAGAAAAATGTGCCAGGACACACAGTGCTGCTGTATTTCCCCTTCGGCTCGCAGCCCTTCATGAACATGTCAAGCACCAGGGCTGTGAGTCCTCCTTCTCAGTTGTATGTCTCTCCCTCACATTTTTTTCACTCTGTCAGATACCCTCAAACCTTAGACGTCCAGTAGATGTTCCTGTAAAGTTACTAGAAAAAGTTACTTGACCAAAAAGCCAGTGTTGGTGTTAACCTTCCCCTGCTGCCTAGAAACTACACAAGAGTGCTTCTCAGCACTTTCCTTCTGAGCTACTTGTGCCATCACACTCTTGCAGTCTGAATGTAAATTGAAAGGTTTCCAGCCCCAGCTTGTAGATATAAATGTGCCAGGACAAAACGCTTGCTCCCACCTTGCCCCTTAAGTTTGGAAACTTGTATTTGCACACAATCAAGTGGCAGTCCTCTTTCCCCTTGCAGCCTATTAACTGTAGTCACACCATGGAGCTCTGCACTTTTCTGCTCAGCTATACATACCCTCATGCACTTCCAGCCTTGTAGAGTGTGCAATACACCTACCGCACAGAAAAATGTGCCAGGGCAAAAACAGTTGCTGGATTAGCCCTTCTTGTTGTAGCCTTTCAAGGACACACCGCACAATGAGGCTATGCACGTTCCTTCTCAGATATATGTAACATCACATTTTTTCACTCTCACAGATCTCGTTTCTAACCTGAAAGAAACCAGGGGTTAATACCTGCAAAAGGTCTTAGAACAAGAAGCCAACACTGATTTTTCGCTTTCCTCTGCAACAAAGAACTGCAACAAACATGAGGCTGCATTGCACTTCTCATCTGTTCATATCATTACAAACTCTCAATCTCGCAGACTAAATAAAAAATGAAGTGTTTTGAACTACACCATGTAAGTGTGCTATGAGAGAAAGGTTTTAGTGACTTTACCCTTCTAATTGCAAACTTCTATTCTCTCATCAGTCAATTGGCAGCCACTTTGCCCTCACAGCCTGTACAGTGTAAAACCCATGGTGCTCTGCACATTCTTCTCGGCTAGATGTACCATAAAGCACTTTCAGTCTCACAGAGTCTGATAAACTTCTCACACAGAAAAACATATGGCTACTGAATTTCCCATTCACCTCGCAGCCTTTCATGAACACACCGCACACTGGGGCTGCGCGCCTTCCTTCTCAGCTCTATGGACCCTCACATTTTTTCACTCTGTCAGATCCCAGCTTCAAACCTTAAAATGTCCAGCTGATGTTCTCTTAAGAAAAATGTACTAGAACAAAAACTAGCATTGGCATTAAACTTCCTCTGCTGCCTAGAAACTACACTCAATAGAGTGTTACTCAATACTTTCTTCTGACCTACTTGTACTTCCACAGTCTTGTGGTCTGAACGTAAACTGAGAAGTTTCCAGCCACAGCTCACACATATAAATGTGCCAGGACAAAATGTTTGCTCACACTTTGCCCACTATGCTTTCTATCCTGGAACTTTTTGCGTGCAGCTCCTCCCCAAACCTCTTCAAGTTTTGCCTGCTCTATGCAAGTTTCAGATGTGGGCTCCTGAAGGGAATGACAGTGACTTTTTTCTTGGCAAGGGGAAGCAACCTAGCCCCAGCCTTTGTGGTGCCCACCATAGGCTGCCCGGTAGAGGGAAAGGCCAGCTACAGCTTTCTGTTCTGGCACATTTTATATGAGAGCAATTGTTAGACATTTGTAGTTTTGGATGCTGTCTGCAAAATTCTGAGCTGGGATCCTGAGAGATGATGCTAGTCCCTTTCCTTGGAAAGAAACCCACCTCTCCCCCGGTGCTGCTGATGCAGAGATAGGCTGCCCAAGGGGAGCTAAAGGCCTGCAACAGCTTGCTTTTTTTCTTACCATTTCTGCGGAAGCTCTCCACGGATGTTTGGGAATTTGGAGATTCCCTCCCAACTTTGGTGTCTACATTGTTCACACGTTCTCACTCCGCTCTTCCCTTGCTGCAAATTTAATCTGCGCAATAACTTTCTTTCTGTTCTAAAATATGTTATCGCAGAGGCGTTCTATCATTCCTAATCAGCTCAGCCTTGTCCAGCGGCAGGAAGCCCATCCTGGAGCCAGCTGGCATTGGCTCCACCAGACACAGGGGAAGCTTCTAGCAGCTTCTAACAGAAGCCACCCCTGTAGCTCCTCCTGCTACCAAAACCTTGCCAAAGAAAACCCAATACATTTTGAAATCCAATGACGTTTTTGGAGTTAAATACTATCACCGACAACTTACGAACCTTATTAACCTGTAACAATTTGTATTATTAAAGAATGTTATTCTGTAAACTAGCAGGTGCTAGCAGTTGCTGGCAGCAGCTGGGAAGGCTTGCTGAGGGTCTCCACACTGTTGGCTTAGCCCCCTGAAAAGGACAGTTGAATCAGCCTCCGATCCAGTGAATCTGTTCAGTGAAGAGTCCCCCTTACAAGACTGACAGACTAGCTGGACGTAAGGGTTATTTTCACATGATTTCCTGGCAAATTCACAGTGGCAGTCTCTTACCTCTTTAGTGACCATGAGGACTGTGTACTTACAAAAATACATTTTTGTTTGTCAGAACAATGGTACCTCTCTCAGCAGAAGCTGACGATGCCAATGCCCTTGGTAGCCTCAGGTATGTCTCAGGAGGCTGCGTTGACCTGAATACATCTAATCAATAAGTCTGAACCTGTTGGCATTCCAGTTTGCCACCTTCTCCCTTTCACTTCACAGTCTCTCTTCAGTGTTAATACATCATAACTCACTTGGCATGTTTGAAAAACAGATTTTTTTCCTTTGTTAGCTGGCCAATCTTGCACGCCGCACACCTCATTTGATTAATGTTACAATAATGCAGATGCATAAGCATAACTAACAGAGTAAATGAATACAACCCTATTGTTAAATCTATCTGTTTAACACTTAAATTAGCTCAGTTCTAAACCAAAACAGGCATATTATTTATTGCAAACAGAGACAGGAAGGTGGTAAGGGGCTTTTCCTTTCTTTCTCTTGCTCTTCAGAACAAAGGTTCACACATAAATAATAAATAACTTGAAAAAGTCAAAGTTTTTCTTTTAACAAGTCAACATTTTCTTTTTAAACGAGTGTTTTAAGAAGACCATATACAAGAAGTATTAATGTAGGCATACTGAGTGCCTGATCACAATCTGCTACTTTTTGGGTCACATACCACAGTACCACCTTGCAAACAAGCATCCCTACTTCCTGAGATGGTAGCTCCGGTGTTTTCTGCATTGTCTGGAAGTCTGCCCCCATGCTCTGGGCTTCTTTAGACAGTCTGTGACACAAGATGTAGTTGCAAGAAGTTTTTTTTCCCAATTTTTCTTCCATTTCAGAGAGTATCACAAAATGGCACTTTTATAAACCTATCACAAAATGGCAATTTTATAAACCTAACATTAGTGCATCTTTAAACCTCATGTCTTCAAAGAAAGCACTCTCCACAGAAGCTACAAAATGCAATTTCCTCTAATATTTTTTTAAACATTCAGTCATTAAAAAAAGAACACACAAAATACATCCAGTTAGCCATAATTTTATTTTACTGTATTCTGTACAATGTACTGCATTTTGTTCAGATCTCTGGAAAGTGATCAATTTCTTTATTATTTTCCCTCTTGAACAAACATTCACATGGATATAAATACTTTCTCTATTATGCAGCCCAATGGATATAAATACTTTCTCTATTATGCAGCCCATTTATTTTAAGTAGTTTCATCCCTACCTGAACTCATTTTAACCAGATTTATCATGGCATGCGCTACAGAGTTTGAAGGCTTTTTTAACTATTAATTTGCTCCTTCCCTACAATATCAAATAAAAAAATAAAATTCTGCCATAGCAGCAAGTTGTATAAGGTTAGCAGTAATGTTCTGTGGACACAAAGATAGAAAATAGTTTAAGCCCTCATCAGTATATACCTAATTTCAGTGTGGTAAGTTGTTTATGAAATGCATGTGGAGTGCTTAGCCATCAGAAAATATGTGTCCTTTTTTATGTTTATTCTTACTGGCTTACTGCTACTGCTAGGTATTTAATTACAGATTTCAAAAAGCATTTATGTATAAAGTATGATGTTATTCTGAATTGGTACTATAGCAGCAAGCACTGTGATCAAGAATAAGAAAACTGAAGTGCTGCTGTAATTACATTTATCCTTAAGCAGAAGAGTTACTATCTAAATCCTACCTTCTTCCAAAACTACTTTGGTTTTTCGTCACATCCCTGGAAAAATGTGAAATAGTATTTCTATGTTAACTCTTCCTGTAAGTTTCAATTCTGTCTCCTCTGTGTATATTTTAGGTTTCAGTTCTCCAGTCACTGATGCACATTAAAGCATTGACAGGACTTAAAGAATGCAATGAATTGTTTCAAAACACTGTCAAAGAAGGAAATTTCTGTAAAATATCTACAGGAACTTGTCATAAGAGCAGATGGCAACAACAGGAACCAGGCCTGGTAAAGCAGATCTGGGTAACTTACTCGAACAAAGATTCCCACCATGGAAAACTGTGAGAAAGGAAAGCATTAATTATAGACCTAAACAAAAGTAAAAGTTTGAAATTAGCACACTGGACAAAATTCCACTGTGCAAACTGTGACAAAGAGAACAACTGCTTACAGCCATGCCATCCCAAGTTGTGGGAACATCTGAGACTCCCTGTGAATATCCAGGACTTGGACTGCATAAAAGTGGTACCCAAGAAGCACGACATTGGGACCCTCATCACTGAGAAGATCAATAGGACCAGCAGGACCCTCTCAGAATCCATGTGGTGGTGATATATTTATCTTTCTACTTATCTGTCTCTCTCTCTCTTCCTATTTCCATCTCTCCCTCTACCTCATATTTACTGCTAAATAAAACCATACTATTGACTTTGGCACTTGGTCTCTTTTGCACCTTAATTTGGGCAGAGGCATCTTTTAATAATTTGATCCTAACAAGCATTTATTTGCAAAATCTAAGTGCATAACAGAGACTTAGTCAAGCAGTTTTCATCTTATGCTGTGCAAATCACACTATCACTTTTCAGAGGACTACTCTACTCACAGGTTTGGTCAGAGAATTTTTGGGGTTAGTTTTTTTTTTTAATTTTCCAACTGTGACCAGAGATTCCCCTCCACAAGTTCAATTAGGAGCCTATGAATATTATCAAATTTTAAACAAGGAGGGAGTGGTAAGTACCAGACCTAAAAGCAAAAGATTAGCAGGCAGATCTTGAAAAGATGGAGAGGCTAGTCATCTTTATGATACAGGAATGCTGACATAGTTAAGTACTTGAATAACCCACATCTATGTTCAGACCAGTACTCGTTATTAACTTTTTGATTATATTTTAACTGCTATAGCTTCTCTTGAGTGGATGAATGCGTATTTAATGAGGACTTACAATGAATTTGACAAATTCCACTGTCACTGGTAGCTTACTTCACTAAATTTTATAATCTTTGCTCTGTCCTTATAAATGGAAATTCCTATTGAGTTTTAATGCTTAATACTTTGTGTGTTTTTAATCAGCCAAATATTCCATACACACAATTATTATTCACATATTATCCTTCCTGTGTACACTTAAGTGTTATGGAACAATAACATATAAAACACTAGTTTTGTTGTGCTGGCATTATATAAAATGCTCTTGGCTCCCTAACACAAAGCAGTAACCGTTTGGGAATCTTTGCTTTCAACAGCTTATAAAAGACAATAATTCTTATACAGCATAATATTACAAATACAGCATAATATTACAAATGCACAATGTTTTCATACCCTCAGTCATATTAAATCCAGGTTGTTTCTGTCTACTGCCCAAGCCATCTGTCAATTGCATTCTCGTATTTTTTTTTGTCCTTTAACCAGTCTTGATGCCACCTAAGGTTCGCAATAACACTTGAGTAATTCTGACCCAAACTTTGTTTCCAACTAATAAACTGTCGTTTGTTATACTCCTGAACAGAAGAAGAAACCTTTGGATAGTTTACTAGAGAGCGGAGTATTTTGTCCAAGGAATGTACAATTACTGGGAATTTTATGGCAACATTTGTCAGCTCATCTGGATCGGCAGTAAGATCTGGAACAAACAAAAAGTCGGTTAAGACTGCATTTAATTAAATTAATGAGTTAGGACATAAAAGCTGTAACATACCAAATAGTTGTGGCAGTACTGAAAAGCCATCTGAGTACGTGATGTATTTCCATTTGCCAGTTCGCAGCATATACACAGAAGCATTCACATTGCACCCATGGAACTCACTCAGCACCCAAGAGGGCCGAGGTCCTCTTGATGACACTTCACTCTCAGTCTTTTCATGTAGCAGAGGTATAAGAGAATATCCACTGAGGTTCTGTGGGACAGGAATTCTTGCTATATCTAAGGAAAGATATACAAAATCAAACTGCTATTGTAGTTTCCATGATTAAAAAAGCATAACAAAATGCTATAGGTCTCTGAACATTTTATTTTGATAATAAAATGTACTTTCCTAATTATTATTCTTGTAGAACAAAGAAACCCCCAAATACAAAATGAAGACAACTTAAGGAACTTCCCAAGGAAAGCTGCCCACCATCTTGATCAAATGCACCATCATCTATGTCTAACAGAAGTTTGCAAAAAGAAATCACAATAATTTTCTTTGATGGGTGGTGCTTTTTTATTTTTTAATCATGGTTGTAAACATTTCTCTTCTGCTTTGACTGCACCAGGCAGGAGAAAATGATTGTCATAGTATGAAAAGACCCCAAAAGCTCCACATTCAACATGGTATAGCATCCATTCCTTTAACAATAACAGTGTCAAGCTCCTATATAGCATTCTTCAGCAGTGAACACTGAAATGCTTTACAAAGGTGGCCATTATGGTTATCATCTCTAACTGGTGGGGAAATTGAGGAGCAGGGGCACTTGCTTGTCTGGCAGGACTGGAGATAAAGATGTATCAAGACACTGTATGTATGGAAAACACTGGTGAGTCCATAACCCACTAGATGGCCCTCAGAATATGCTGTAATATCCACAAGCTCCTCAGCATCAACTTACAACATCACAAGTGTCTCTAGGTCCCAAAGATCAGGTCAATATTAAAAGGCTGCAAAGGTATGTCAGAGACATTCTGAAAAACATAACTAAGAATCCCAACAATGTCCCCTAAACGTCAGCATGCCCTAAAAAACAGGTATGACAGTAATTTTTTAATCACCACACTGAATATCATCTATAGACATTCAAAATTCAACACCTTCCATTTCACAGAGCACCGTGGTAGTATTTAATCTTCAGTTCTATGCCAAGTGGTGATACTCTGTGATAAACTGGCCATAGGTGACTTCTTCCTTTATCAGCACACATCTTCCTTTTTGTCCTCAGTCCAGCCAGTGCCTGACTAACCACTAGAAAGACCTGTAATGTGTAAATCCAGTAGTTCCCAATGCCTGGGCAAAAACCTTGAACAAATACATCCTACATTTCAACAAATGAAAAAGGGATATAGGCTCTTCTGTTATCCTTAATCAGCAATGCTATTAGTTGAAGTAACTGCATGTGTAAAGAATGCTCCTGTTTTTCCAATAGAAAGCCAAAGGTACTTTTATACAGACCAACAAACCCACTGTTGCCTGGAGGAAAGGTTACATTACATTCTGTTAAAAAATGCAAGAGTAATTGCACTTCTGGTAGAATTATCCGTATCACACAGATTCTGCTGGAATCAGAACATCTGTGCCTATTCACAGTGTCAGTAAAGGAGGAAGTCTTGAGCAAAGCATTTGGAGGGTGTCTTAAAAAAGATTATTTCCCTTAGACAGCAAAAAGCAAAGGGATTATATTGTCACAAAAATAGCCTTGAAATATGTTTCATCATTAGTCAGCAGTAGCATATAAACTAAGGACGTAATAGAGCATAGAGGGGTTCTTCATGTTTTCAGATTCACCTTTTTGACATTCAGTTTACAGAAAAGGGAAACTGCCAGAAGAGAAGGAAAGGATTATACACACAAAGTTCTGGGGGGCAGAGGAGGAAAGGATAGAAGCATGTTAAACCACCTGGCAAATTATTTCATTTGTGGAAAAGGGACAAAGAAGAAAAAAAAGAGATTTTTAACTCTTTACATATGATACCATAACTTATATAAGATCCATATCCAGTACGCACATATATATATATTTGATATCAAATTTGAAAGAGAAAGTCACTCAGATTTCATATCCTATTTTCAACTGGATAACTCGTTCAGAAGTTTTCAGAAGACACAAACAGCTAAATAAATTTTGTTCATTTTTGAGAAAATCAACTTAAAATAACACAAAAGAGAATTTTTTGCTGACATTCACTGCTAGAAGTACCGTTTTATCTACTGCCTCATGTTCTCTCAGCAATTGCAGTGTACACGTGACACATCTTGGAGAGAAAGCTTTGCAGACTTGAAAAACACTTTTCTGGTTGGTAGCCTAAAGGATCACAGATAAAGTCTCAAACAGCAACTTCACCTGATGTTTAGTTTCAATGAGAGTCATCTCTTGCATGATTTATCACAGACAATTGTTTAAAACTTCATTCTTAAAAGTGATTTCCATCCAAGTAATTTAATGTCAATTCTTCCGGAGTCTCTGTCCCATACTAAGTACTTTCATATCAAATAAGGTAAGAATCAATATCCATTATTATATCTTATTTCCTTGCCCAGATCAATTGTATATTTCTTCTACAAAGCCTATTGTTCCTCCACATGCTCTTCATAAAAAACATTCCTTTGATAAGCTAATGAACCTGCAATCCTCTAAGGTTTAATCTCATTCCTGGATGCATTTACACTGTAATTTCTATAGTAAACTGTTAGGTGTGAAGGTTAGCAAGGATTATTCATATCTAAAATGCATCTGATTGTTTTTTATTACCTTTTTTTTAGTAACAAATAATCCTACATATAATCAGTCAGGGTAATTACACTGAGGACAGTAATAGTGATAAGGAACATCATCAGCTCCTTTATTTAATTTTTTCTTCAACTTTTTTACTTTTTCTATTTAGTCCATAAGTATGCTCTATAGATAAATTATCTCTTGTTATGCTGCTATATTGCTTGAGAAAATGGAGACATAATTCTGAGTGTAATACAAATACATAATAATGATAACTGAGAAAAAAAAATTTCGTCTGAAATTACTTAACTCACCAAGCATAGTAGGATATATATCCACAAGAGATACTACATTTGGTATTTCCTGATGTTCTTTTACACCAGGCCCCATAACTAAAAGAGGAACATGGGAACTTCCTTCATACATGCTCATTTTATAGAACTGACGATGTTCCATAGCAAGTTCTCCATGGTCTGCAGTGAATATAACGATTGTTTTTCTAAGAAGCCCCGTATCTCCCAGAGCTGCAATAATCTCACCTGCAACAACAAAAAGGTAATGAAAAGGATACATTCAAAATACTTCATCCAACTTCTGTACCTGCAAAGCAGCATGCAAACCTCTAGGAATCCTCCTAGTCAGAGGGCTAGAAACTTCTCTATTTTTGCACATACATTTGTGCAATGAAGACGTGACATACACTCCTCTCCTTTTGCATGTACACTTGTGCAACAAAGACAATCTCTTCGTTCCCTTAAACTGTCAGGCTTCCACTGATCTCTTTTCATTCATAAAATGAGGAAGAGCAATTCTGTGTCTTTTAATTCAATTTATCAGTCTAACATCTGTAAAAGATTAGCATATTATATAATAAATTAAGACCAATTTGCATTGTCATTTTTGTGTATGTAGACCTTACTGGAAACTAGGAAGAATTCTGAATGTCCAATTAATTATTTCTTAACTGTCAATAATATGTTGCTAAGGGACACTCCAAATGTAACCTTATTTTTTAGTCTATATGTAACAGCTGTTATCCAGTCTACGCATTTGAAATCAATCTCTAAGGATCGATACTTATACTACTTATGCAGTAAAATTATCTTTCCTTCCAGCTCTGCTTTGTCAGTCAGTTTCCTTCACAAAAATGTTTCCATTATTTCATTTAGCACTTAACCAAAGAGCATTTAGTTCCTCTGGTACATGGGTCATGCAATGTTTTGCTGCTGGTTTTCAACAGAGCCTCTGATTTCTAGTTGTGATTACTTTTCAGAGTGCACTGAATTCACCTTGCAAGAACCTTAAAAGCTACCCTATTATTTGTCACAAAGACTGATTAAGCAACATCCACGTGACTTACTCCCAGGTCTGAATTGAGGTGTTTTGTTTTCTATTTTTTCCCCAAAGATCAGCCCTATCAGCATTCCCCCCCACCCCCCCCAAAAAAAACCCCTCACTAGAAAACCCACTGCAAAATGAAATATTACCTACCCAGCATGGCATCTGTCTCTGCACACATAGCATAGTAAAATGCTCTAATATTTCTCACTTCTTCCTTGGTAAACTCTCCTGTGCAATTCTTGGTATACGATGAGTAATAGTCTACTGGATGCATCTCGGAGAGAGAAGACCACTTGGGTATTTTAATAGCTTCAAAATTTACCTAAAAATAAGAGGAATCTAACATCACTTTGGTAACTGAATAAAACACATTTTTTTTAACACAGATTTAATTAAAAACTTTACATAAATGCACAGTTCTTAGCTTATGGTCCAGAAAACACCACCTGCTTACCTGTTACGTGGTGCTGCCACCCTGTCTGTACTTCCCCGTGGCTTCCACAGGTAGCAAGTAATTTTAAAAAATCATCTAGAAACATGGCTAGGAGCCAGAAATGTGTGCTTTACCAGCTGTTGTATTATTTTAAGAGAGATAGCACTGAACAGTCTTCTAGAACTGTACTCCCTAGTAAGTACAGAAGTATTGGCATAGTGTCTTCATTAGCTGTAGGACAACTATAAACCTCCCATATCAAAAAGATTGGGTGTTATGTAGGACAACATGGAAATTCATGCAGTCTGGGAAAGTCTCCAGGACAGCGATGACAAGTCTTGACATCTTGACAAAAAGAATTGACTACAATAATCCAATTTTTTGATACTTTTCTACTTGTCTACAGATGTCAATCCATTCAGTTATAAAGAAATCCAAGATCAGTGTGAAACTAAGAAGCCAATAAATTTCAAGTAGTGATGGACATATATATTCAAACTGGCATAACTGTGTGCTGCAGTACTAGATTTAGAGCCTCGAAGTTTGACATATACATTTAGCCTAGACTGTCATACTTATAAGCACTCCCTTATGTAAGTGCTACATTTAACAGTTAATAATTTCTATACAGTAGACTTAAAAGTACAAATTATCACAAAGCAGAGAAGACGTAATCTTAGTATGGAAAACTTAAATTTATTAAAAACTAAACCCACACTTGTTGTCTTTGTTTACCTCTGAAAATCTCTAACAAACAGATCTAAGGACTAGATTATGGCACAGCAACTCCAGTATCTGTGGAGCACATTCTCAGGACTACAGTCACAGCTCCACTCCTTGGCTGGCCCCAAACATGGACAACACTGGTTCCTGATAAAATAACTGAGATACTTACTGTTCAAGAGGCTCCATACAGCACAAAAGCAATCAGACCAAAGTTGTCCCTGGAAATATTGCATTCCTGTTTACTTAGAATATCAGTCCCATGTTATGGGTATTGGAACACATGGACATCAACATCACTGATGGTCCAAGATACACCACAGGCTCAAGAGACAGGAAATGTGCTACAAGCTCTCCAGGCAGCTCTTCATTATCCATACTTGGCCGTGTGTTCCAATACCCACAACATTCCACCTCCCATAATGTCAATATTCTCTCTTAATGTCTAGCAGATGTATTAAGTCATAGAATCATAGAATCATTAAGGTTGGACAAGACTTCTAAGACTGCGTCAGTCATCTTCCTACTGTTTAAGGTCCTTGGCTACATAAAAGTTATATTTTAGGCATCTTAAACTGTATTTATTAGCTGCTTAAGATATAATGAGAGCAAGAAGTATCCCTCTCTATCCATCATTCTTTTCTACAGAACTACAACCTGGATGCACAAAGTCATAATCCCTTTGTCTGTATGTTGTAATTCATAGATAGGAAAGAAGCCAGATGCCCTGAAAAAGTGACAGCTTGTGAAAAATACAGAGGACCATCTGCTTAACAACACAGGGTTTCACAAACATATTGTGTTGATACCCTGTTCTGTATTAGAGCCCAAGTAAACAGGACATTTAGCTCAGTTCTTCATCTGTACAATCAAACTTCTTCATGAGATTATCTCTGTGATTTTCAAAGACTGCTTCTTCCATGACCAAAATACAGCTACATCCCAGAAGAACCAGCCAGTGGTCAATAAATGGTAATATGTGGTTCACATAACACAGTATGTATATATAGTTGTGCAAAGGACCTCAGCAAACTATGGAGTTTAACACATCCTTAACTGGATTAAGCATGACACAAAAATTTGTCAGAGATGTTATAATTCTGTCTGTGACTTGAAAAAAGTACCCCCCCTAACAAGACACATCTAACCTAGTAATTAGTACCTAGCAAGTTTTCCTTAATAACTAAGCTAGATCTTGTTTTTGTAAACAAAGGTTTTTTTCCCTACGTTCTTCCTCTCCTCACAAACTTTTCACCCTTCCCAAAAGAACCCACAACCATCACTATTACAAAGACATTCAACCTTCATTTGTATATCTTTTTTTGTAAGTGCTTGTATTTTTGGTGCATGTAGATACTTAGCAGTTCTCCACTAGAGAAGGTCACAAGTTATACAAACTGCATTTGGAGGGTTTTTCTGAGATATAAAGTCTTTTCTAACCTAATTATAATGCTTCAGCTGCGGAGAATATTTCATGCCTTTCTGCAATGAAATCTGTTGTAACACATGCATATTTTATGGTAGATAACAGCAACTGGAGATCATACAAAACAGGGAAAAAAGTATTTCTTCTTTGGCATTAATGGAGTGGTATTTGTTAGTTTTACAAATACAGATATAAGGGGACTTTTTTTGTGCTCTAAAACCATTGCAAACCTACAGTAGCACAGGAAAAGTTAACAAAAAAGAAAGACTTCTCTTGTGTCTTATTTTCTTTCATGGTCTAGGTTTTTACTGCGGGGAAAGTCAATCTTTCACTGTAAAACTCAGACAAAATGGATACATATAGCATCATTTATGACAAGCAGAATACAGAATATTCGTAACAATGAACTTCAGACCACTAACTAAAAATAATTTACAGCTATAATTCTTTTAAGTTTCTGGCCATTGAACTCCAAACTTCTTATTGATTCAGTGACTACTGCTACAAACCTTTCCTACAAGAGAGAAGAATTTTTTATTTGCTTAGCCTTAAATCAGAAGTCTAACACCTCATTCAAGTCCTTTCACTGTGTACTGAAATATCAAAACTCTATATGGCTTGAAAACTCAGGAATAAAATACTGTGTGTAAAAAGTACAGTTATTAATTGATTCATATTTAAATTTCATCTTCACATACCTTTTCAAGCCAATAGGGAGATGTTAAAAATGTAGAGGATCCAAAATTTTCTCCTGCATAAGGTGATGGGTATGGGTGTGGTAAATTTAGTCCCAAGTAAAGAACAAATGGTTGAGTAAGATTAACAGCTTCTTCCTTTATCCAGTTTACTGCTTTATCAGTATTCCGCCAATCTGCTTCCATCACTCTAACCCGCTTCCTATCACCTGTAAGATTTACCATGGGTCTCCCTTCTTGCCGGAGCAGGAAGTGAACATCCCTAGTCCAAGCTTCCACACGGTTACTGAAAATACATACACAAGATACGTACTCAGCAGAAAATGTTTTCTTCACTTTTTCTCCAAGCAAAAAGCATTACGAATTCCTGAAAATCTTTCCCTATACTTTTAGCTGCAATCTACCTGTAATTCCTACCTAAAGAACAATTGTTATTCAACTGAGCTATAGCTATTGTGCCTCTATTTTATACTCCAACTTTCAGCTTTTTTTTCTGCTTCTGAATCTTTTTTCTTATTTATTATCACTTCATGTCAGAACAGCTCTTCTTACATCTAAAAAATAATATTTAGAAATAGCATTTCCATCTTATTGATGCTGCTCTGCATTCTGGTATGGATTCACATGTTATTTATTTGGTAAGGAGGGCCTTAGATTTTTGTTATTTAAAAGGATTCCATGGAAACAACTTGCCTGGTGAGGCTGCCTTTAGAAACAACATTTTTAAATACACTTAAGACAAAAATCTGTAAGAGTGATTTCTCTTATTCATTTACTTTAGATGTAGCTGATAAACACTATTGAGGAAGTTAATGCCAATTTTCCACATTTTCAATGGGAATGAAAAGAGATCACATCTCCTTTCCCAGCAGATAGTACTCCAGTGATTGTAACAAATATACAATCAAAAAAAGCCATAAATAAAGGATATAGCAATGCAACATTGAAGATACAGTTTAATGAACTACCATCATTATTGACACAAATGAAAGTAACTACATGACAGTCAGAATTACATCTATTTTAAGTGAAAAGTCAAAAGCACATATGGAGTCTTTTTGACAGGAAGCAGAGGCTTGATGTATACAACAGTCCAGAGGCTGAAGATCCAGTTCTTTTACTCTGTTAGTATATATTTCCTAGAAACCCTCTTCTTCAAATCTCCTCAATTCACAACTATGGATAATTATCTTATGAGCAAGTCATATTCAAATTACTCCTTTTCATTATACATTTGTATTTTTAAGATACATACATTTCTATAGAGAGATGATTTGTGTTAGCAATGAACTATTTGAAATAGGTTAGAACAAAGCAGAATTGATTTATGTCACACAGACTAACTGTTGAAGCAGAAAAGTTAATAAGTGTTTTTTTACTTAGATAAACATGGGATTAGGGAGCAGAAGTGAATTTATTGTCCAAAGAAACAACATATGCTTAAGAAAAATTTCTGAAGATATAATACTGCCTGCTGAACCTTGCACTAGCTAAACTGTTCTATGTCCCTTTGCTAGTCTCCCTTTTAACAGGAAATTAAAACAGTAGGACATTTTAATTATCTCCACAACAAACAGGAATCTTTGTTATAACTCCTCTGCACTGTTGAGAGATTACTTGGCTACTTAGGGTTTTCAAATGTCTACACAGATGCCATGCTGGGAACAAAACGTGCATTTTTCTCTGACTGAGGAATCATATTTGTAGTTTCCATTTTTAAAATTAAAAATGCTGTAAACTGCCATTTTCAAATTCCTCTTGTGTAGGCATAAAAAGGCTGACTAACCATGTGTTTATTTTCATTTATTCTCAACCACTACCTGCACTTGTTCAAATAACATTAAGTCCATATCTCAAACTTTCACTGAAAGTCAAAACAAATGTATACAAAAATTCCAGTAGGTAAAAAGGTAAGGTCAAGACATAGAAAAAAAAAGATAATTAAAAACTGCAACACCATAGAGTTCACTGTGTTTTCCTATTATATCTGAAGTGCCTATGAATTTAGCCTCATGTGACCAAGACTTACATAAACATGATGTGATTTTGTGGTTATACCATAATTTCTATTTGTGAGACTCAAACCCTATCACTGAAGTAGATAAATCCCTACATGCCAGGATGAGGAAAATAAGAGCACACCAGTATAACTCCACCGATACTGCTGCCATTTTGAACAGCACTGAACTGGCTTAATTTATTTTTCGTCTGTGAAGACTCGTGACAAAAACATTTAGAATAATACAACGAGAACCATGCAAATGTGAGAGTACCAGACATAATGAGAGCAAGTTTAAAGCATTGATAGTGAGGGAACATGAATGACATCAGCAAAACAGATCAGTACTGAAGAAGGGGATTTCAGTGTTAAGATCACTGCACAGATGCTCAGTCAGCAGCATTCTGATAGCAGAATGGCAACCAGTTCATTGCGCACTCTCTGTGCCATTCCTCTTTCTGCTATTCAAATGGGTAGAGTAAAATAGGACAGCCATAATAAGTAAACAAAAAGAATATTTGCCTAATGTTACTGTAGACTGAAACCAGCAAGACTTCATGTCAAAATATCACACCATATCAACTTCTCACTCCTAAATAGTGTAAAATACCTATGCAAAGTGCCATTTCCTCATTGCCAATCAACACAAAAATAGGAGAGATCTCACCAGGTTACATCAGTAAAGTATTTTGTCATTAAAAGCAGTGTATACATACAACACACTAATAACTACTAACGTCACCTTTCAACTTCTGACAGCTCATTTTACTGAGGGAATTGAGGAAACGTTAACTCTAACCTGTTCAATACAAAAGAAAAAGCTGTTCTTTATATTATTTCAACAACAGACATCATTGCTAATCAGTGAGAGAGAGCATCTTCATAAAAACTACATAGAAGGAGGACACCATTTTTTGTCCCAACTATCCAGACACATTATTATTAATTTTTTAACGTAATGCAGTTATTCTCTAAATGTTTAGAGAATGTGAGGGCTCCTCTCCCTGAGGAGGAAGGAGTGGCAGAGACAACATGTGATGAACTGAGCACAGTCTGCACTCCCTGTCCCCTCCCCTATGCTGCTGAGGGGATTAGGTAGAGAATTTGAGAGTGAAGTTGATCCTGGGTAGACGGGAAGGGTGGTGTCTATCCAGAGTCAACCCACCACAATGGCACAAGTCTGTGAACATTTATGGCCTTCAAAAAACACCCCACAAAACCTCTCATGTTTAGTGATGATAGCTTTAATACTAAATTATTATAATTATGGGGTTTTGTTCTGCTTTTCCTACATTGCTAGTATAACCTGGAAGCCAGGAAGTCTCAAAGCAAGGCAAAAACAGTTTATGAATTTCATTTAGGGAGCAATACCAGTGATAAAAATTAATGTTGGGCAAAAGCAGTTTTGTAAAAGCCAAAGTGCAGTGACATGGGATACGCTTGCTTCTGCATAAAGTTGAAGGACAGATCCCTGTTAGGTATCTAGCACAATTTCTTTTCACTTAAAGCTACTACTATTTCAATCAGAGACAGAAGCCACATAACAGATCATTACATAGTTTGTTCACTACTGTCCATTTCATAGCAGAAGAATCCATCCGATTACCTAACTGAATGATGTCCAGAAGTATAGTCCAATTTCCCAAACTTCTGTGTGTGGTAGCCATGCTTCTCCATGAGATCCATCCATGTTATATAATCTGGATCTAGACCTTTGAAGTTATTCCAAGATTCTGTTAAATGGGTGAAAAGACCACTCCACATAGCTGGGAAAAAAAAAAAAATTTTGATGAGTAATTGGTACCCCCTACCTGTATACTTGGGAGGGATATTCCCAAGATACACTTGTATACTAAGGAGGGATTAATCTTATTATTACAGAGGCTAGAACTTCACATTGTGATCCAATAGAACAAGGAATACAAAGTATTACTCTTTCAAATCTTGTCATAATCAATATAAGTAACAAAATTTACTCAAACAATCCCCCAAATTGCAGAAGAAGGTCCCATCCTTCTAGGTGCCAAGTAATTACTAAGTCAAGGTTTTCTTAGATCAGAAAATATTCTTATTGACTTCTGAAAGAAAATGGCATGGTAGTACAGATCCCCATGAAACAGTCCTGTACTTCTTTTTTTTTCAGAGTATTATTTCCCCTTACTACAATTAGATTTTAATATGAATTTAGGTATGTTTGTGGAGGGAAAGAAAATACAATGTTTTTATAAACACCATATGCCTTCAATTTCATCCTTTTTAGGTAATCTGCTTCATTACCAGATGCAGAAACAAAGTGAGAATATTTAAGATACCGAGAAGAAAGGAAACCAAGGGAAGAGCCACAAAGAAACTATAAGATTGTTTTAGTCAATTCCTATTTCTTTGCAGCTTATTGAGAATTGTTCACTCTTTCCAATACTAATTTAGAGTTAAAAGGAATCACAAAATGAAACTTAGTCATTCTACAAGCAATAAAAATATCCTGTTAGCATAGTGCATCAACCCCACATGGCAACATTCCTCCTTTCCTCACCCCAAAGTCTTCTTTCCTACCATGTCTTCTGGTATCATCCCCAACTCCTCATATGAGATGTACCCTCAGTTCCTTGCAGGTTTCCAAGACATTGGCTAAATAAAAGCTGTCCTGCTGGTTCAGAGCCCCACATGTGATGACTGACCAGTGGCCATAGCCACTCAAAGTGCTACACAGTCTTCATCACTGGGAGCAATAGCTGCTATTTTCACAAAACTTAATAAGATTAAATAACACAAAGTTATTGCTCGCAGCAATAAATTGGCTGAAAGATTCAAAACTCAAAAAAAGAAAAAAAGACTGACTGCTTGTTCATGTAACCTTGCCCACTTAAGACCTTGAGAAAAAGATTATCAATAAAGTGAATACTAGAAATGTAAAACTATATTTGACAGCTTGTGCCTGCTGTTTCTTCTAGTGTATGCTTTGAGAGAAAGAAGGATCCCCCTTATAGATACAAACGAGAGAGGGTCTTTGCAACTGAAAGGACTAGACACGTTTTAAGATGGAGGACTACAGTTTTTGTCTACCTTCCCAGCAAATTCTGCAAGTGTGAAATTGAACACAGAAAAACAACTGCATTAAGCAAAGAAAAATCCTGAAGAGTTCAGTTAAAGCTACAGAAAGATACATCATGTATCTAAAAGTGTGTTTGGAATAAATGTCATTGGAAGACAGTGATAACAGTCACCACTTTATTCAGATGATATTTATTACTTTTTGCCAAGAACAGAAAAGATATTTATTAACTTTGTATTGGGAAGGGAGAGTAGTTCTGAGTGTAATTTCAGCATTGTAGCAGACAAATCAATGATTTCTCTACAAATCCTAAAGATTTGTTTAGCCTGGAAAAGAGAAGGCTCAGGGGTGACCTCATCACTCTCTACAACTCCCTGAAAGGAGGTTGTAGCCAGGTGGGGGTCGGTCTCTTCTTCCAAGCAACCAGCAGCAGGACAAGCGGGCATGGTCTTAAGCTCTGCCAGGGATGGTTTAGGTTGGATATTAGGAAGAAATTCTTTACAGAGAGAATAATCAGGCACTGGAATGGGCTGCCCAGGGAAGTGATGGATTCACTGTCCCTGGACTTTTTAAGATGAGACTGGATGTGGCACTTAATGCCATCCATGGTCTATTAACCATGGCAGTATTGGATCAAGGGTTGGACTTGAACTCAGAAGTCTTTTCCAATCTGTTTTTGTGATTCTATGATTCTATGATTTTTTAAAAAACTGAAGCTTCCATGGAGTTTGCAAAAAGATTTGGGAGATTACACTTACCTGAAAAAAGTACAAAAAATGAAAAGAAAGGAGGAAGCATAAGAAACAGGAAAGCAAAACAGGTGAAATAGGAGAATACTGAAAAAATTCATACACAAACTAGAAAAAAGAAAAAACAAAACAAGTCCCCCTCAATTAAAAACTTTGACATTTCCCATCATTACCACATATTTAAATTGACATGTGTGAGCATTTATCTATGTTTTGCTTGGTTCTACCTGCACGGGAAGGACAACAAATTGGAGAATTGGTATAGGCATTGAGAAAGACAGTGCCATATCTTTTCATAAAATTTATGGAAGGTAAATCCACAGTCTGATTTCCTGGAAAAAATGTCAAACGTCCATCCTGTAATCAAACAGAGAAAAACAACATATAAACAAGCATTACCACGAACCATTGGCTGCATTAATTCACAGATTTTTTACTGTAGTGGGTTTCTGTGGCTGAATTTTGGTACTGGAGAGGGGAGGGAGCTATAGGCTTGGCTTCCGTTAGAAGCTGCCAGAAGCTTCCCCTGTCCCTGGAGCCAATGCCAGCCGGCTCCAGGACGGACTTCCTGCTGCTGGCCAAGGCCGAGCCAATCAGGAGTAACAGTAACACCTCTGAGATAACATATTTAAGAACAGAAGGTTGTAGCACAGAAAGAATTCCAGCCAGGGAAGAGCAGAGTGAGAACATGGGAACAACAAGGCAGACACCAAGGTCAGTGCAGAAGGAGGGGCAGGAGGTGCTCCAGGTGCCGGAGCTGAGGCCCTGCAGCCCCTGGTGCAGCCCATGGTGGGGCAGCTGTGCCCCTGCAGCCCAGGGAGGGACATCGGGGTGCAGAGACCCCCCTGCAGCCCATGGAGGAGCCCATGCTGGAGCAGGTGGATGCATGAAAGAGGCTGTGACCCCGTGGGAGGCCCAAGATGGAGCAGGGTCCTGCTGGGGACCTGCAGCCCCTGGAGAGAGAACCCCACACTGGAGCAGGTTTTACCTGGGTAGGACTTGTGGCCCCTGTGGGGGACCCACATCAGTACAGCTCATTTGTGAAGGACTGCATCCCATGGAGGAGTGACCCACAGGACAGCAGTTTGGGAAGAACTGCTGCCCATGGGAAGGACTCACGCCAGAGAGGTCCATCAAGGATTGTCTCCCATGAGAGGGACCCCACGGGAGCAGGGGAAGGACTCCTCTCTCTGGGCAGTGGCAGAATCAAAAACTGACCATAAACCCCATTCCCCATCCCCCTGCACTGCTGGGGGAGAAGAGGGAGAACATGGAAGATGAAGAGGTGGGGGGAAGGTGTTTTTAAGATTGTTTTATTTCTCACTCTCTGGCTCTTATCCTGTTAGTAGTAATTTTAAGTACTATCCCTACTTTGAGTCTATTTTGCCCATGAAGGCAATCAATAAGTGACCTCTCCCAGCTGTTATCTCAACTCATGAATCCTTAGCTGTTTTTTTTTTTCTCTCTCCTCTGTCCAGTTGCAAAGGGAGAGTGAGAGAGTGGCTTTAGTGGGTACCTGGCATCCGGCCAGGGTTAACCCACTAGTTACCTTGAACTTGTGTTGCTTAAATGCTGCCTACTCAGGTCTGAAAAATAGTGCTGAGAAGCTTTAATTAGATCAATATAAAATACATTACTTATGAAAAAGTACAACGTAAAAGATAACTGGGCTTCTTCATAGTCAAATTAATTCCTTTCTATCAGTGTACATTTTCCAAGCTCCAGTTCTTAAGGAGTAGGGTCCTACGATGACACATTCAATGGGAATAGGTACAGTGAAAGGTGACAAGGAGTCAGGCTGAATCCTAACACAGATGTGTGCACCAGTATATATTTCTACGAAAGCACCACTGGTCCCTCATCCTTTTCAAAGGTTTATCCACACCACAACTCTGAACTTATTTTAACCTAGGTACTGGAGAAGTGATGAGAAGGCTGAACAAAGGCCACTCTCCCACTGAAATGCCACACACAGTGGTTCCCTTTTGATACTTGCATATTGAAAATTTAATTTTCGTCTTTTGTTTAGGTAGAATTTTTGATCAGTAACTTTAAAAAAAAATGACATTTTGTCATGGTATACTTTGTATACTGAGACACAATTACTGTTTGTATAGGTGATGCACGTATTTAGTGAAAGTTCTGTTCTTGAACAGGCTGATAAGGTGAAAGCTCAACACCTATTTCTAGAAACTTGCCCTCTAAGAATTATGTAGGATTTACAGGTTTTGAAATACCTAAGAAAATAAAATTATTTTAACACAAACAAGCACATTTCATCCAGGAACTTGAGCTGCATTGCAAGCAAAGCCTGACATCACCCAGTTTACTTCAAGTAGCTAATCAGGAGCTGAATTGCTAGCACATTCCTCCAGGAAACGTGCAAAAAGCACAATGCCTGATGTGACATAGCAGCAGAAAGCTGGCTGTTGAAGCAAAAGGTCACTGTTCTGGAGGCCAAATGCAGTCCAGCATCACTGAAAACAAAATTTTTGTCACACTTGACAACATAGGTGTGCATCTTTCATAGGCAGCATGACCCACAACAAAGGCAGGCACACTTTTTAATAAAAGCCCAGGCATTTCAACAGCTTGTAGGACTTTTTTCCAGAAAAACTGTTAGTTTCAACAGTACCTGTTGTCTACTAGTAATGTAATTAAAATGGTTATTCTATTTCTACCTTCAAATCCATCTCAAAAAAAAGCTTACACAGCCTAACCTTTAACATATTCTTCTTTGTATGCACTATGCAAATGACACTTTTCAAAAACAGCACTTTGCTCTTAATTGTTTATATAAGAATATCAAAACACCTGGGGTTTTACATTTCTTTTTTGTAAGGGTTACCTCATTAATCCCTGTAATATAGTCATGAAAATATTCCTGTTTACAGGTGACAGAGAAGTATAACCAAAACTTGTCTGCAGCTTATGCTAGTATCTGGAGATAAAATGGACATTGACTAACCCCAAGAACCTTACACACTCTAAATTCAACTATTGGTAAATAAGAGTTTTAGTAAAAGCTGAACATTTGGATAAAAAAACATGCATTACTTTGGAATTTTAAGAGATGATATACTCAAAATAAAATAAACAAAGAATACAGTCAAAGAAAGGAAAGTCTATACAGAGCTATTGCATTAGTAAACAAGAAGCTATTTCTTTATTTTTGAAATCATAGCATATGTCTTTTAAAATAGGGTTTGAAAAAACATAATACACATTTACCAAATATTTAGAAAGAATTCATCCCAAGAAGCTCAGGTAGTAGGTAAGAAGTCAAGTGTTCTGTGCAGTCAAAGACAGAATTCTGAGAAGGCCAGGAATCAAGATTTCTCAACAGTGAATGAGAACTGATGAGATGTGAAAGCCTTGGAAGAAATACCACAGAGCTTATGTCTGATTCCACAGTAAGGAGAGCTCAGATGAGCCAGAGAAACCAAGGCTACTCAGAGTAAAATGTAAATGAAAGCATTTCCAGTGGGTGGGCACTTAGAAGTATGGTGAGAAAAGTGTGAAAAATGTGTTGTCTTTACATGTGTCCAAGGAAACATACTTAGCTATTAGTGAAGTCTTTTCTACCTGTCTGGGTGTTAGACCAAACACATCGATAAATCACTGTAATGAAGCCACTAGATACCTACTAGATACACATCTGACAAGTTTATTGTGTTGTTATACCTTCTAAGAGCCTGAGTAAATCAATACGTGATGCTCCATAAGTCAGTCATTTCATCTGTGAATTCAGAAGTTCTCTATCCCATCTCGAGGAGAGCTAGTGTTCTTATGATTTACAATAGAAAGGACAACAGGGTTGAAAGCGACGTTCCTTTCAGCTTTTCAAGTCAACAGAAGAGCATTCACTTCACACACCAGCCCTGCCCCACAGTACTGCTGGCATGCCCCTCTCCACGCCAGTGTGCGGTGGGTGACAAGCTGTATGTATCACACCAGACCCGGGGAACCACCTGTGCAGAGGTTCCCGACTACTGTAATGCATCAGATGCAAGCACGGAGCACATTCCTGGAAGAAAGTTTGGCTTGAAGCACTAAAGGTCTCTGGGACACACCAGGCCTGCTCTTTTAGTCCCAAGAGAGACTACCGCCCCGCGGAGGTGCTGGAGAGTAAAAGCCAGCCTCGTTGGCGCCCGCCTGCGGCTCTAGCCTGGATAAGGCACCGGCACGGCCTCCTTACCATCCTCGGCGGCACCACCGGGGCCACTGCCGAGGGTTCTGCCGCTCTCCCTCACCCGTGCCCGGCCCGGGCTGTCCCCCTTCCCGGCCACTCACCAAGGAGTCGCAGGCCACCAGCACCACGCTGGACCGCGGCTGGTCCCCAGGAGCGGCGGGCCGCGGCCTCGCCCCCGCCCCAGCGGCCATGAGGAGCAGCGCCAGCCCGGCGCGCCCCAGCGGCTCTTCGCCCCGCATTGCCTTGCCACTCTGGCCCCGGTCCCGGACCGAGAGGAGCAGCAGCTCCTAAAGCAGCTCCTAAAGAGTCTCCCGGACCCGGCCGCAGCAAAAGAGTGACAGCGCCGCTCCGCGGCCTACAGCTCCCAGGGTGCCCCGGGGCGGCGGCCTGACTACAACTCCCAGGGTGCCCCGCGGGGCGGGAACGATATCTCCCACAGTGCCCGAAACAAAATGGTGGTTGACTGGAGGATCGCTGCCTTCAGGTACGAGTGCGCCTGCGCGCGGCCGCGGTGCCAGGTGGCGGAGGCGCCGGTGGGTGAAGGTGGAGCGGCGGGGGAGGCGAAGGGCCGCGGGGCGGCGGTGGCAGTGGCGGCGGTGGCCCGGCTTCCCCTACCGTGGCTTCGCCTGCTTGGCTTCCCCTATCGCGAGGGCTGTCGGGCGCGGATCGCTTCCCAAGGCACCCCGCAGGCCCGGGGCCCCGGCCGCGGCCCATGCTGAGTGGCCTGGCTGCGGGGGCTGGCCGCTTCCGCGGAGCCCCCCTTTGCGCTGAGGCGGTGTGTGTTTTCTCCGTAGGTGACGATGGGTCTCATGCTGGACAGTGCCCGCGGCAGGGTGCGCTTTTGGTGACCGAGACGTCAGTGTCCTCTGAAAAGCAAACTTACCTCCAAGAGCTGCTGAGCAATGCAAGTTCAACAGATTTCTTTATAGGTTTTAAAGGGAACTTGGAAATTTGCTCGCATCCCATGTCCTTTCATTACTAAATTAACACTGGGCCCTTCAACCATTCTTTATTTTTGCTTTTTAGCTGCTAAAAAAGTTTTTTTGTTCTTCATCTGGTCGCCTTTTCCATCTCTGTTGGTGCTGGCACCAGCACTGTTGTTTCTCAGCCTCATCCCATCTAGGCAGCTTTGACTGGTGTTCCTAAAGTTCATTTAAGGCAAAATATTTACCACATACACCGAAACAGTGCATGTTTATTGGAGTTGAAAAGCATGACTGTGTCTTTGGTGTGTCCTGACATACTTACTCCTTTTCAATTCACAGCTGTAGTCAGAAGCAGAGTCTGGTGTGTGTGTGTGTGAAGGGAGAGGACCACGGTGAGCCACACCAGAGCGTGACAAGCTGGCTGTGGTGCTGGCCATTGCAAGAAAAGCCCTGAGCCTTAGCAACCCCTTAAACACATATCCAGGGCAATATGCTGCTTAAGTGCAGTTTACTGATCACTTATTTTATAAAGAGGAATTACGACAGGATGGTTTTCTTGTAAGTGTAATGAAGGACCCTTATAACACCTCTCTTCGTACTTAAATTTATCTTAACCTGTAACAAAAGGTTCATTCTGGGATAGCTACTTTGTATCATTTAACTGTTTGGAATATTGATGGAATCCTGCCTTGGAGCTAAACCTGAGTAATTTTACCTGTGTTATTTTTTTTCATCAGGTTTTAGTGCTGTATGCATTTTAGCGTACTGCACTATATTTCTGTGTTTAAAATGCTCTCTATGCAATTGCAATAGGATATAAACATTTTGTGTCAGTATATCTTTTTACAAGAACTGATTATATGTCTTTTTTATTTAGCAGCCACAATGTCAAATAAAGAGGTGAAAGCAGCCTTAAAGAGTGCTAGAGATGCAATACGAAATAAAGAATATAAGGAAGCCTTAAAGCATTGCAAGGTAATGTATTTTTTTTACTTAGATGGTAAATACTTTGCAGGACTTTTTTCCTCTTCCCCTATCCCTACAACTGTATGGTAATGCTGAACGTGGAGTACCTTATTGATGCTTATTGATGCTTATTGATGGATTTTCAGATTTAACTTCATTGATCATTCATGTTAATTTCCCGCACATAAATTTTTTTTCCTCTTCCTTTTGCATTTGCTTACATGTAAGAATAAGAGTATTAAGTCCAGAATCAGAGAAATAGAAATCAGTTTGTAATCCAGACCTCACAGGAATGCTTTAATTGCTGAGCCACAGATATGGTTACTGGCAAAACATTTCAGATATAACGCATTCTTTGGCATAAAAAGATGAAGTTACTAATCTTAGTGTCTTCCTAAAAATTACTTAACTTGTAGAGGTGCTGTACAGAGTAGTTCTCCAAACTGTAGTGATAAAACACAGTACATGGATCTGTAAGTTACATTTGTCTCATCAGTTTTACTTGAAATTGTATAATTCTAGGCAGTCTTGAAGCAAGAAAAAAATAACTACAATGCTTGGGTATTCATTGGCCTGGCAGCTGCTGAGTTAGAGCAACCTGATCAGGCCAAAGGAGCATATAAGAAGGCTATTGAACTTGAACCAAACCAGTTACTGGCATGGCAGGTACGTGACTGTGTATTTTTTGTTTCCCTAAAAAGTGTCACTATGGAGTTACATATAGGAATAAATCAGAATTAAGACTTATATCTTGTTTTCTTGAGGCCCTTAGTTCCACAGAAGCTCTGGGGTAGCTGAGGTTCATGTTACTTGTGTACGCAATGTAAAGCCATGGTGAAGTTTAGTTTCAGTATATTTGAGTTTGTATTTCTTATGTAGGCTGAATAGCTGTGAAACATGTAAGGGAAAACGTGAATTGAAACAAATACAGTAAATTTGCTGATGTAAAAATTTCCATGCTTGTAGCTCAAGAAGCCTTTGACAGTGATCCTCTTACAGGAGAGAAAATGTTTTATCTCGTAACATAATTTTCCACTTTTCAGCATCAAGTGGATTGTTAATGAATTTTGTTGATATTTAAGAGCAAAAATATTTGTCTAAAATAGCTATGTGCTGGGTGGTGTGCGCATTCCAGCCTATTAAAATATAGAGTTACAACATAGAGTTGTGTAATATGGAGATTTGTGAAGCATAAGGTTGCATATTGAGTCTATTGCTTATATCAGCAATCAATGTTTTTTTAAGGTAATAAGGTTATTAGTATTTCCAGTATAAATACTATTTTAAATGAGAATTGTTGGGGCCTGAATTCAATATATGTTGAAATTTCCTCACTGTTGCAGTCAGATTCTGGCTTTCTTGGTGCAATACTTGGGTGTGTGTGTATATATAATATTTTGCATATTATATAGATTTTAGCATACAGCCTAGTGTACTTTGCATATTGCCTATTGTGCAGACAAGATCATTTAATATATGTAAGTTTCAAAGAGTTGTTGGTATTAATTAAGAAAGTAGGAAAGCTTTTCACTTAGTATGAATAGAATTCAGAAGGTTATGCAAAATTCTGCTCAACAATTTTTACATTACCACTTAGAATCATAGAATCATAGAATAGATTGGGTTGGAAAAGACCTCCAAGATCATCAAGTCCAACCCCTGATCCAACTCTAATTACTATATCATGGTACTAAGGGCCATGTCCAATCTCTTTTTAAAAACTTCCAGGGATGGTGAATCCACCACCTCTCTGGGCAGGCCGTTCCAATGCCTGATCACCCTCTCTGTAAAGAATTTCTTCCTAACATCTAACCTAAACTTCCCCTGGCAGAGCTTGAGCCCATGTCCCCTTGTCCTGTTGTTGGTTGCCTGGGAGAAGAGACCAACCCCCACCTGGCTATAACTTCCCTTCAGGTAGTTGAAGAGAGTGATGAGGTCACCTCTAAGCCTTCTCTTCTCTAGACTAAACAATCCCAGCTCCCTCAGCCTCTCCTCATAGCACTTGACCCCATTTAAGGCAATGGAATAATTTTTATAGGCAGAATTGGTAGTGGTCTCCCAATGCATAACCATTGACATCAAATCTTACTTATTTTTATCATTTTTTTTAAGGGATTAGCAAATTTGTATGAGAAACCCAACCAAACAGATGTCAAAGGAGACTTAGCAGATGTATACCAAAAACTCTTGGAACTCTACAAAAGGTAAAGGATAGTGAATGCTGTAGTTCAGTCTAAGATTTATAGTTTAGTGAATGCCATTGCTGATATACAGTAGTGACTTTGATTTTTTTTTTTTAAAGCCTTCTCATGTCAGTGAGTCAGCACTTTTTACTCAGGCTTTCTGTACCAAATCAGATTTCTTGTTTCTTCCATTTTAGTAGGGTGAAAGCTCTTACTTTAATTGGACCTGAGGTTAGTAGTTTAGTGAGTTTGTTATTATCCTATTCCTGTCTAAACTCACTGCCTTGAAGCATTTATCTCTGATTGTTCATTGCATTAATAAATAGGCTTATTTTTCTCTTCTTTAAGATCATAGAATATGTGTCATCTGACTCACAGAGATACAGTTTTAAACAAATTTAACTCAGCTGTCACTTTAGCTGATGGAAGTGTTCAAATTGTTTCCTTTATTTGAAAATAGATCAGAATGAAATGTATGGTCCTTAAAAGTATTTTTTTTTCTTATTCAGAGCAGCAATGAATAAAACTTAGAGGGTGATCTGGAGTATTTATTCTAAATATTAGTTTGACAACTGAACCTACTGAAAATTTTTCACCTGAATTTGGAAAACATCTTACTATTATGTGAAAAACTTAGCTGGTTTTTTGGGGATTTTCTTCTTCCTTTCTAGTGGTGACAAGCAGAAATGGTGTGATGTATGTAACAAACTTGTGGAACTGTATCATCAAGAAAAAAAGTATTTAGAGGTAGGTCAAGTACTTTACTTTCTCTCTTCTAACAAGAATTTTCAATTTGATCAGAAGTAACTATTTTTCATCAAGAAGTCCCCACTTTTTGGGCCACAGACTACTTAAGATCTCCTTGTGGACTGCAGCCAGGAAGAACTGATTTTAATTGTATTTCTTTCTTTTCCACTGTGTAAGACTTGGATGCAATCCATTTAGCTGTCAGAAGGTGACAAGACTATCAGTATACAGGCTGAAAGGGTGGAATATAATTTTTCTGTTGTATTTCTAGAAGTCAAGAGTGGTCTCAAATGCACATTTACATGCAATATATATGAGTCAGGTGTCATTTGCCTTGCTTGGCAAATTCTGGGTGTCTGATTAGTCCTTCACTCATGTGGTGATCCCTTCCTAGACTGTCCCTCCCTGATGCTTCTTTCCAGAGGGTAAGGTGGGATACATACACAACTTGACTGCATGAGTCTTATGTACTGCAATCCCAGCATAACAATAAGGACACAAAAAGCTGCTCAAGAGCTTTGCAGAAATAATCGTGACCCTTGGCAGTGCCATGAGGTGGAGTTGTTGAATGCCTGAGTGTTTCAACAGTAATATTTCCTGCAGTCTCTGTAATAATGGTACAGAATTTCGGAGGTATGCTGTTCACTTTTCCTTTGCTCTTTGAAAAGGTTGCTTTCTTACAAGGTGGTACATCATTGTACTCCATGTCATCTTCCCACTTTACCTACAACAATGAAAAATGAAAAATTTTACATAGCACATAGCATCAGGCTCAAGACTGTTAATTTGCTCCAAAGCCACTTTTTGTACTAGTTTCTGAAACTCAATTCAATGCTAATAATTTACCTTATGAAGGCAGACTTGCTCTATGTGGAACAGGAAACTAAAGTTAGCCTTGGGGTTGTATTTTTTCTTTTAAGTTCTGTTGACTTTTCCACACTGGAATTTCAATATGTACTGCTGCTGCTGCTGTTCTCTTTGTGTTTGTAGTGCTGTAGATCCAATAAGGCTTATTCCTTCAGAGTTTATTGAAGGACTGTTTAGATCTATTTCTGCTGTTGATTTCCTCCAGGAACCAGAGTCAGAATTCATACTTTTGATGTTCTCTACCTTATTTACTGTACCTTGAAAGTGGACAGGTCCCACACAATGGTATGGGACTTGTTACTTTTTTAATCAGAAGGCAAGTAAATCCAAGTTGTTACTTTAAATGTTACTTTGTTTTCTATCTTAGTGTGGTATAGTTGAGTATACCTATATTGGACCTCCAGTTCTTTACAGAGTAACATCATGGTTCATTTGTTCCTGTTGACAGGTGGCTGAAACATGGCAGAAACTCATACAAATGAGACAGGAGGAAGGTGCAGAAAAGGCAGAGCTTCATCAGCTTTGGAAGAAGATGATCCAGTTACTGAAAGACAGTACAAAGAACCAAGATAATAAGACTGAGCAGTTGGTAATGTTTCTCACTCCTCCTTCAGCTAGATAAAAATATATATGTACAGTGCAGCTAGGACCTCGGTTGAATTAACTGTCTCAGTGTTCAGTGGTACTAAGCTTCTCCAACAAAAGCAGCAATTGTGCAGCAGCCTGAGGTGGGCCTTAAGTGTAATGAGGCACCTAAATTCTTCGTGAATTGCTCCAGCATGGGTCACTTCCACAGGGTGCAGTCCTTCAGGGACAGACTGCTCCAGCATGGGTCCTCTCCTTTCTCTTGCATATTCTCAATCCTCTCCCTGCCTGTAATTGCTGTTGCACTAGTTTCTTCCCCTTCTTAAATGTCTTCTCCCAGGGCACTACCACCACTGCTGATGGGCTCAGCATTGGCCAGCAGCAGGTTTGTCTTGGAACCAGCTGGCTTTGGCTCTGTCGGACGTGGGCAAAGTTTCTAGCAGCTTCTCACAAAAACTGCCCCATTAGCTCCTCTACTTAACTAAACCTTGCCTTGCAAAATCAATACAGACATTCCTCAAAACAACAAACTTCCCCCTGCTTTTGTCCAGGGTGGAAGAGAGAGCTTTTTGCTGATTTTCCATTTCTTTGTACCTACTGTTTATCTTAGTTTGCTATAGATTTTAAACTCTCACTCCTTAGGAAAGTGTCAAAGCTCATTGAAGCAAAAAGAATGAAACAGAATAAACACTCATCTTTGTGTTCTCTATGGACATAGTTTGTTTTGTTTTAGCTTTTTAACTGTTCTTGCAAGATGAACCTTCTTCAACACAAAGGGTGGAAATTTTTCGTCTCGAATCTGGTTGGTAACAGTGTTCCAGAAAGGCAGAAAATAGAAATTGAAGCCATTTCAAACAGCAGAAAATTGAATTTGGATCTCTACTTTTGAGAAGGCAAATGTTATAATTTATGAGCTGCTATGGAAAAGAGGTGCTGCAGGCAGCAATGGTTTCTTTTTTGGTAATAAAAAAGAACTTTAAAATAGAAAAAAACCTTGCATGTCAGAAGTGGATTTCACATGCAAATCTACAGAGCACTTTACTGCAGTTTTGAGTAAAGCACCTGAACCTGGAAGCATGTGGCACTGAAGGCAATGCGCTATTCAGTGTTTCACAGACAAGCTGCGGGCAACTTTTTGGTTAGCATGTGTGTTTGGAAGCCTCCAGTCTGGTGCCTGTGTTCTTGAAACTATAAGGAATCAAGAGAAAAAAAAGACTAGGTTTCTAGATTTGAGCAGAGGGAAGGGCTTACAGCTAACTGTAGAGGATAGCAACCTAAGTTCCTTCTTCGAATTGGGATTATGTTTGAAGAAGAATGTATGTTATTAAAAATTTCACCTTCCTTGTGTCATCTTATGTTATGTAACAGTGTATTATTGCTTCATCTTGTACTAGGCAATTAACATGCTTTAGGTCCTGAGTACTGCTTCATGATAGAGAACTTGCTTTGTGAGTTCTCTGTTCATAGTACTAGTGTAAACTTAATGAGTAGGATCCAGATAATAAGTAACTCTCTAGTTAACTATGGAAGTGCTAGAAGGCATGTCCTCTAAGGAGCAGATGATAACTTTGGGTTTGTCTTGTTTGGAGGAGAGGAGGCTGGGGTGACATCTGCTGTCTACAACTTCCTGAGGAAGAGAAGGTGGAGAGGGAGATGCTGAACTCTTCTCCCTGGGATCTAGTAATCTAATATGGGAATGGTTCACAGCTGTACTGTGAATGGTTCGTGGGACTTGCCATGTGATCAGACACTGAAATGGCCTTCCTAGAAAGTCAGTTGATGCCCCATACCTGTCAGTGTTCAAGAGGCATTTGGTCAGTGCCCTTAATAACATGCTTTAGCTTTTGATGAGATCTGAAATGGTGAGGCATGTGGATTAAATAATTACTGTATATTCCTTCCAACTGAAATATTCTATTCTATGAAGATAACGTTTCCCTAGAATAATTTTTTTTTTTGCACTTCTACTTTTTTTCTTTTGATGCAGCTTTTGACTGCATTTGAACATGCGGTGAACTCTGCTGACACTGTTCCTGGTGAAGACCACCAAAATCTTTACAAGGACTTTATCCAGTGCTTGTCAAAAGTAAGGTTATGTTAAGGTATCTTAATAAGTGAATAGATATAATATCTCACATCTGATAGTTCACAAAAATAACTATTTACCTTTCTTCCTTCCAAGTTTCCTCATGAAGCAGCTAGGTTGGAAAAGGCCTGTAATGATATGATGGCTTTGTATCCTACCATGAGTTATCCTTTAGAAGTACTTTGCTTGCACTTTGTTAATTCAGGTGAGTAGGATGGATTTAGGCATTTCTGGGGCTTATATTATTTCTTTTATAATTAGTTTTGTGACAATCTGTTATCAAGTTTTTGTCCTTCACAACCCAATGCAAGTACACTCTTCTGTGTTATGTTTCTGGAAATGAAATATTTGGTCCTGTGACGTACTGTTTCCTAGCTGTGTAACAGAGTGTGGCTGTAAATTGACAAAAAACTTCTGTGAATTAGATCCAACTCTGACAATGTGTGAGGTCTCAAAGAAAGAATGCTGTACAAATCTTGAAACCAGCCTCTCTAGGAAAATGAAGGTTAGCTTCTTGAGCTTAGAAGAGAAAATGAGAGTGTTAGCCAGTGCTGTAAGGCAGAGGATGGGCTACACTTAGGTTATTCTTGACACAGATTATCTCTCTTGGTGGAAAAAAAAACCCCATACAAATGTTTGTGAAACTTTCTTTAAAAGTGTACCTTGTGAATAGGAAATAAACAGATCTGTTTAGATATGTGTTCTAAGCAGAAAAGGAGAATCCTTCCAGGATGGGGCAAGGGCAGGTTGGTAGGAACAAAACGTGGTGTGTTCAGAAATGCAGGGACCTGAAAGTATGCAGTCGCTATTTTCAGTACTTCACTAAACAGTGCAATAGTGTTGGACACTTTCTCAGCATTTTCAAAGATAATTACTAGATTTTGGTATTTAATTAATTTTTTTAAGACATCAGAAGTTGATTTTATTTTTAAAACAAGGAAAGAAGATCAGGAAAAGAAAACCCCTCTGGTTTATATAAAAAGAAAGAGCTTTCAGCTTAGGCAGAAAAGTACCTTTTCCAGTTTTGAAGGTAGGCTTCATGGGATAATGCAGCAGCATAAAACAGGAGAGAATGTTTGACTTGTATTAGAAAGGATGAAGACAAATGAGGCCCAGACTCTAAATTCTTAAAACATTTGAAAATGCTTAATGTTTTTGGATAACCAGCAGAAACTAATTTCAAAGGAAAAAGTTGGCACAGTTTTTGTACACCAGTACTCTGACAACATCTCACCATCCCACAGGCTTGTATGCTGCTTATATTTTAGTAAGGCTGTTTGTTTATATCTGAGTTATTCTAACTATTTCTTAGTCCTTCATGCCCTGCACTTTTAGGCTTGTAACTCAGTTGTTAAGTCCCCTTTACCAAATGCAAAACAAAGGCAACCATTATGTCACATGAATTAATGATCTTTAAAAGAAAATAATAGTTTAGAGATTGTTGCAAGTCACAGTTGTTCCTATTAGCACTGCCAAGACTACAGTCACAGCTAATGTCAAAAGCTAGTGATATCAGTTAAAATTAAACAAAGATATTAAATTATATGGTGTCACAACAAGGTTGTTTCAGCAAGCTCATCACAGAAGATTTGTAGGTACACAAGGCCTACTCTGGAAAGAAATTACTTTGATTTATTTGTGGTAGATTTTGATATGTGGGTACTCAACTGGACATAAATGAAAAGCATATGAAGGAATTAGTTCTTATTAATAAAGGAAGTATACCTGTAGTAATTTAATAAAAGTGGTCATTCATGTTTCAGACTGTCAGTTTATTTTGTTTGGGGGTAATGAATATTTACATTGCTGCTGGTTTTTTTGGGTTGTTTATGGGATAGAGTGATAAGTATGTGATACATTTGGAAAATTACTTTGAACTCAAAGGTCATTTAAGTAGATAAGGTATGCTGTTGCATCTTTTTAATCTAAAACTCCATAAAATGTGTCTTTGTCTGAAACCAGGTACTTTGTCAGAAGAGGCCCTGCACTGTTTTTCTAGGCTTTTGGAGATGGACACAAGTAGTGGTCCAGGCATCATTGGTTTTGGTATAAAATGCCTCCAAGAAAAGAAATACAAGGAGGCTGTTAAGAGTCTTACTGAAGGTAAATGTGTAATATGTGGTGTAAGTAGTCAGTAACTTGAACACCAGCTAGTTTATACAGAATAGTTATATATATGTTACCCTTTCACAGTACTTTGCCAGTTCTAAGAGGAGCTTTTAAAAGAGTTCTCACACATTCTCTAATTGAGTGTTGAATTTTTTTTAAATATAGCTTAAGTATAACATCTCTGAAGTCTGTCATTGGTGTTATAGTCAGCTCTGTAGTGTTTTAATGTAAACTCTTTTTAATTCTACTGTTATTGGGGAAATACCTAGATGGAACAATAAACACAGCGATAGGAATAAATGAAGGAATGTGGAATTTATAAAGTAAAATGTAATACATCTTCTCTAATTGAATCACTGTATTTCTCTGCCTGAACAAAGATGAATTTCCTTTGAAGTTACTTCATTTTAAGACCTCTTTAACACTTGCTTTGGGTAAACAGTTACATTAAATATCTAAAAAGAGATATTCGAAGAATTTCTTTTTTTGGTTGTTGTTTTACAGTAGCTATATTTGCTAAAGAGTTGGCTTACTCATCTGTAATAACCTTGCTTGTGTTGAAATGGCAAAGCTCTTTGTAAAGTATTCAGAAGTATACTAGTGGAAAAATGAGACTTGCCACCCTCACTGTCCTGGCTATGGCAGCTTACTGTTAATATTGGGTAAATAACTATTTGAGATGTAAGTGTTCATGAAACAATCAGGCTACATTGTGATATCCCACATCCAGGTTTAGAATGAGATTGTTTCTGAAAATGAATTTTGGAATATTATACAGTAGCTTACCCACAGTGAAATAATGACTTGCCTAAAATGTGAAATAAGTTTCATGTGCTTAAGAGGAAAAAGTGCTCCATGGAAAGCAAATTCTTAGGCTTAAATGACCACATGATGTATGTTTTGACAAAACATACAATCATATTTTTGACAAAAGATAGTATTTTATTTTAATTAATATTAATTTTTCCCAGTGAGCCAAGGGTTTGCATCTTAGGCATTGAAGCTTCCAGGCATTATGGTTATATTTTAGAGGACAGAAATTCAGTTTTATTAATGAATCTTTAATTAAGGCAGATTCATCAAGAAGTTTCAGTGAAACACTCTTGCCGTCATTTTTTTTGCTATCTTGAAGTTCTATAGGCATTTTCTGGTTTCTAAGAAAAACTTTATAAAGCAATCTATAAATTTGATCAACAACAAAGTGAAGGATTTTCTTGTCTTTGAAACAAAAGTGCACCTTAAGCCAGTGTTGTATATTTTCTCACTTTACCCCTTTTTTTCAATATATGTAGCATTTTATGCAAAATTAAGCCTAATGGAAACTTACATGCTTCTTAGTTTTTACCTTGTTGCGTGGAGGCCTGTATGTCTAAAACTGTCTAAAATAAGTTTCAACATGACTTGCAGTTAATTTTTTCTTTATCTGATTGATAATGTTTTTGATGGCATTATATGATAATACAGCTATAGTTTCTTAGCAATCCTAAGCAACTTTTTTAATTGCCTTTTTTAAACTCTGACTAGGTTTGCAGAAGACTAACCAGTGTCCAGCAGCATGGCATTATTTAGCAGAGGCACAGGTGAAAATTCACAAACACAGAAATGCTGTCCTGTCCTGCAATCAAGGTAAGTGCTTGTTAACTGAAAGAGCAACTGCAGAGGTGCACTGCTTTATGTGGTCCAGCCAGTGTGGCCTTTGTGTTCTAGGTCTGAGTTAGCAGCAGGCATAGTCTCTTGATTTTTGCAGTCTCACAGCTTGTGCTGCCTCTCTTGGTTTATAACAGCTGAACAGCACCTTATGCTGCTTAATCTCAGGAAGAGAGAAAATGCTTGGCTAATCGGAACCAGAAAGCTGTCTGATGGGTAACATTTAGAAGGTTTGCATGTTCTGATGTGCTCCTTCAGCTGGTGGTTGACCAATGCTGCCAAACAACAGATAATTTCCTGAAACCACAAGGGTAGGTGTCACAAATATTTAGTCTGGTAGACTTTGTATTACAGCCTGAAAGTTAAGTTTTCAATCAAGTTAATATAAAGTGCAGAAATGATGCATAGTACTCTGCATATGAAGAAGCCTCAGTGTAAAACTTCATCTGTGCTAGCTGGGAATGAGGGCAGTTATTATGATCTAATAATGCATATCTAATCTGAGCAGAGCCACTGTCTGATGTTTATAAATGAAGGAGCAGCCAGAGTAGACTTTTTTGGTGGCAGAGACAAATGTAATGAAAAATTTCTCAAGAAAGACTTGAAGAGGCAAAAGTATGCCAAGCTGGCTGAACACTCATGGTAAATTATTCACAGCAAGGGAAAGTACTTGCCAAAAAGGAAAATTAAAAGACCTGTGAATTTGGGTGGAGGAAATATGAAAACTGAACAAAACAGGTAAAAAGAAATTTATCGCAGAAATAATGAAAATGTGGTAATTCTTTTCTCATCTTTCCCTACTTAAGAATCGACAAAGGATTATTAGAGGAAAATGCTGGAGTACTATGAGGTTTAAGTAGTTGCTTGCTTAAATTTCAGAGAAACCACTGACAAATCTGGTATTTTAAATGGTCAACTTAGCTACAACTGGAATTTTTAGAGTTATAGAATTGATGTAGAAAAAGTAGTTTGAGGATAGACAGCATGGCTTTTGTAGAGTTTGCTTTTTTTTTTAGAACCATTTGAAGGAGTGTATGAGCACATAAATAAGAGAGATTTCCAGGTAGTAATTGATAAGATCTCTTACACAACTGATTTCCCTATGGGTTTGTATTCAGGATGGATATTGAGGTGCTGGAGCAGCTTCAGAGAGGAGCAGCAAGGCTGGTGAAGGGACTTGAGTGCAAGTCCTGTGAGGAGAGGCTGAGGGAGCTGGGGTTGTTTATCCTGGAGAAGAGAAGGCTCAGGGGACCCCTCATCACTCTCTACAACTACGGGAGAGGAGGTTGTAGCCAGGTGGGCGTCGGTCTCTTTTTCCCAGGCAACTATCAGTAAAGGGCATGGTCTTAATCTCTGCCAGGGGAGGTTTAGGTTGGATATTAGGAAGAAATTCTTTACAGACAGGGTAATCAGTCATTGGAATGGGCTGCCCAGGGAAGTGGTGGATTCTCCATCCCTGGAGATTTTTAAGATGTGGATGTGGCCCTTAGTGCCATGAGACCGTGGCAGTAACTGCAGTGGTGTTGGATCAAGGGTTGGACTTGATGATCTCAGAGGTCTCTTCTAAACCTGTTTATTCTATGGTTCTAAAGAAACTAAGTTGCCTTGGGTTAAGAATTAAAGTTGTATCATTGAGTGTTGGATTTCTTTGTTTTAAATAAGTTAAAAGGTAGAGCATGGTATAGTAATTACATCAGTTTTCAGCTGGAAGGAGGTGTCTGACATTTTCACCAATACCTTTGCCTTTTATAATTGTTGAGTAATAATAAGGTTATAGTTTGCTTCTATTCAAAGTAGACTGCAAAACTTTGAGGGGATTACCTGAGTGTGTAACTAAGTGTTAGAATTATGAATAAAATTCTATAGTCTTAAATGCAGAAGCATCGAGCTGTGGGAAGAAGTGTTCCCATAAAGGTGTCCTACATTGTTGAAATAGAGTGCAGAACAGTCCTCATTCTGTATGAAAAAATAGGACTGTTTCTTTCCTCTTGTATGCTTTACAGGCAAGTCAAATATTAGCAATTTCAGGGAAGGAAATGGTTACTGAAACAGAGCATCAACATACAGTGGCTTTAGGAACTTCAGCAGCATGAAATCTGTGTGCAGTTTTGATACCCATCCACCCCATCTCAAAAAGAAAAAATAGTAGAAGTTAATAGACTAGTAAATAAGGATGATCAAATATATGAAAAAATGGGGCATATGAGAACTAAATAGACTTTCAAGTCCTTTTCCAGCCTGGAGAATAGAAAAATGTAAAATATGTAAAGGTGTAAATTGTATGGAATATAAATAAAGATGTGAGGTCTTGTTAGTACCAAGTGCAACTAAAATGGCAGGCTCAGAACAAACAACATTTTGTTTCTCAATGCAAGGGGTAAGTTAAGGTATTAATCTTTGCTAAAAGATGCTGTTGATGAGGAACTTTTCCTTGAGTCCAAAGAATCTGTGGAAAATTGGAGAGAATTCTGGGGAAGCATTGCTTTTTGCTGACCTGTCTTACTGGCTGTATCAAACCAGACAAAAGTTCATCATACATGAAAATAAATACAATTAATTGAGTTAGCAGGAACTTCTTGCCTTTGGAGAATCCTGAAACTTGACAAAGTTACCTTCATTCTCTGAAGTGAGATTGTACTGTGCATTGGAAAAGTAAGCAGTACTTTGTAGAAAGGTAAAAAGCACAGAGGTAAATCCCTGGTTTCAGTAATATTATTTTCTGTAAATACTGAAGTGTAAACCAACTTGTCTGTTGAAAGGCCATTGTTTCTTCAGAACTCAAATGGGAAAGAAGGTAGCCTTCCATTTATCCCACCAGCAACTAGAAAACAATCAGTGTCCATGCATCTGAGAGGACCTCCCTAAAATTGAGTTAGTTTTTAAACTTGAATGAATTGAAATTTTACAGGGCAATTTCTTACATATGGGGGAGAGCAGTTCAAATGGTGCTTTATTAGACTGAAACATTGGAATTAACAAGATTTTAAAAATATCTAGAACAGTGCTGCTCTTTGTAGTTTTGTTTTTTTTCCTAGTTTTACTTAATGAAAGGTTCTTCTTGTCAACAGCTCTTGAGGCTCTTGAAATTCCTGAGGGTCCTAATCTTTGGCAGAAGAAACTTGTCCTTCAGTTGAAAGCAGAGACTTTGATTAAAATAGCTGATGCTGATGCTGCAGAAGAAGCCATTAAAGCACTTGAGCAGGTATTTTCATGGACTAAAATGTTGTAGTTTTTTTTAAATTTTAAAAAGTGCTCTCATCTTTCTGTGCTCAAGCTGTGTATTTCTATCCCTGCCTCCTTTTTACATTCTGTGTGGTTTAGACTGTTCCTGCCAGCTATAGTGTAATCCAAACATTTCTTTCATCTCTACTTTTTTAGGTTTTGCTCCAGCTCTTTTTCAATCACAATTGTAATTTTAGAAGCTGTTGCTTTTGACATTGTCTAGTCTTGCTCTCTACTGCTGGGCTCATGCAAGTTCTGTGGCTGTTGTTCACCTTAATTTGAATTATTGTTATAATCCTACTTCCTTATGTCCTTCGTTCACTTGTCATTAGTCATGAAGATACTTTAAGGTAGCACGGTTAAGCTTTAGCAGAAGTTGCTTCCCCTTGTTTTTTGGCTCAGTTTCATTGTTCATTGTTGTTCTTCATGCTTCTGTACATTTGTTCTTGCTCTCTACAATCTCATGCTTGTTCTTTGTCAGAACTATTCTGTCTCAAAGTCTTTTCAGGTGTAATAGAGAAAGTGTGCAAATGTTTTCTTTCCCTTATCTTCGTGCAGTCTACCCACTTGTGACACCTTTGATTTCTTAGTGTGGAGAGAGAATAAATTGGTGATGTTTACTACTTGGTTTTCTAGATTGTAGATGCAAGCAGTGATCCTGTGATTTCAGCTATAAGGGGCCAGGCTTATCTAAAGAAAGGTTTAATTGATGAAGCTTCTAAGGTTAGTGCTTTATTGTTATTCCTGTAATTTAAATGCAATTCTGAGTTTCATGAAGGAAATAACTAGGGAAAAATTACGTCCTTTTTCAGATTTCACAAGAGCTTCTGTTGTCTCACCCTGATCTGGCTGAGTCCCATGCTCTAGATGGTTATATCCATTATTCCCAAAAGAACTATGAACAAGCAGAAAGAAGGTAGATTTTTTTTTTCTGTCCTTCAACAGGGAAATGTTATGGAGGAGTGGAATATAGAGTTTTGCAGCTTTTCAGAATTTGTCTGATCTGACCTGTGTTCCTTTCATTTAGTTTTCTGAATGCTATTGAAAGAAAGGCAGAAACTGCAGAGTATCATCAGTACTTGGGGCTCACATACTGGTTCATGAGTGATGAGACAAAAAGAGACAAAGGAAAAGCACTCACTCAGTTCTTGAAGGTAAAAAGACTGCTTTAATTGTTGATGTAGAATTAGTGTTTTCCTATATCAAAGAAACCAAATATGGAAAATACGCAGAATGGAGTGACAGACTTGAATATTCTGCTTGTTACAATGTATAAGCCTCCAGAACCTGTAAACCAATTTCAGCTGTGCAGAAAGGCATTGTAGGGAGCTGTACGGCTACCTGGAATCTCCCTGCTTTTGTTTTCCTCTTTCCACCTAATTCTTGAGGCCTTTGAGTTAGCCAAACATAGTGGTGATTTCCACAATCTTCATTCCTTGAAGTTTAGAATGTTGAGGCCTCTTGATGACCGGCATAGATCTTTGAGGACATTTAGAAATGGGGAGGGCATAATTCAAACTGGAAGAAAAGTGAGGAAGGCAAAAGTTGAGAATGGTGTTAGAGATTCACTGCCTGTCCATGGATTTAAGTCTGTAAACCCCCACAATTTATATGCTTTTTCCGATCTTTCGTTTTTTACTGATTGTGGCTTTTTCTCTGAACATAGATTATAATCTGAATCCAAAAGATTTAGTCTGACATCTTATTGATACATGAGAGTATACAAAAAAATACTGCAAGCATTGTAAACTCATCGTATAACTTCATGATAGATATTGACAACTCAAATCATTGTCTACTGTTTACACTTTAATTGCAGCAGAGTGTACTGGTGAGTGTAAGTGGATAGTACTTTTGGTTTTAAAACATATGTTCTTTATTATTATTATTATTATTGACAAAGCTGTTTTCTGCTGCTTAGAGGCTGTGGATTTCTTAAGTATAAACAAATTGGCCAAGTGCATCTAAGAAGAAACTTAAATTTTATAAAAGACTGGAGTTAATTGGGTTGTAATATGGTGTGATGGTTTTAATCTAGGCCTTCCTGGTGACTAGTTTGTAACCAAGCAAGTGGCCAAGTACCCAGTATTCCATACGATTTTTACGTAAACCAGAGTATAAATAAGTTGGAGATTAGAGACCTCGCTCTCTTCTCTTCCAACGAGGGTCGGGAACTGTAGGTCCTTGCGTTGGTCTCGCTTATCTAAAGCTGAGGCCTGCAGCGACCGCTGGCCTACCACGTGGGGGGTTCGGAGAGTGCTGGCTGTGTCTGCCAATCCTGCTTTTCTAAGGGAAGTGGTGAGATCTGTTTTGTTAGTTACTAGTATAGTTCTTGAGTTTGATTGGGTATACCTGTTCGGTGTCCCTTTTGTTCCCTTTTGTCCCTTTTTTCCCCTTTCCCTATCCCATCGGGAGGTGGATCCCCTTTTACTGTGTATATAGCATCTTAACTGTATATAACTGTAATTTACGTAAATATAAATATATTTTCATATAAGTAGCTTGACTTTGAGTTCTTTAATTTTTTTATAGTTTTTTTCTTTGCCCTAAGAGGAGAAGGGAGGGGGAAAGGGGGCTGCTGTTGTGACTTTCAGGCATTTGGCAGGGAGACAGATCCAAACTATCACTTATGGCAAGAGTATGACCATAATGGTTGAAACTGTATAATATGAAAATTATGGGATGTCAACTTCCACAAATAGTTTGTTAGTACTTCATGTACAAAATGCTTTGTGTCATGAGGTTTGTAGCATATTTTGCAGATACTTAAAACTCAGGTAATCTGGGTGAACCTAAAATAAAGTTTGACAACTCAGATACCTCACAGAAAGAGCTTAAAAAAGTTGGTAAACAGAGATTAAACAAGCAGTTGTCACTGGACCTGTCTATCACTAAATCTTGTCTATCACTATAATCTTTCAAAATGCTGTCTTATGTTTGTTGATATTTCCTTACAGGCTGCAAAATTGGACAGCTACTTGGGAAGTGCCTTTTTTTATTTAGGTAACTACTATAGAGACATTGCTGGAGATAAAAGTAGAGCTCGTGGTTGCTATAAAAAGGCTTTTGAACTGGATGAAACGGATGAAGAATCTGGAACAGCAGCTGTAGACTTAAGTGTGGAACTTGGAGATATGGTATTGTACATTCAGAATTTCAGATTACTGCTGTTTTGCTTTTCTGTTAGTCCTTCTCTTTGAGGAATCACTTCAGGTTTCCTTTGTATTTTAGAATAAGATCTGAAAACAGATATTCTGTCATTGCTTATTAGCTTTCATAGGTGGACCTGCTTCTATTTTATGCTCCAATTTTGAACTAAATTTATCTGGGGAGAATGATATGACAACCATTAGAGTCATCACGTGAGTGATATAGATGAACAGTTTTTTCAGCAGGAAAACACGAAAAGAAAGCTAGGGCATTTTCCATATTTAAATTGAGTCATCTCTTTTTTTCACCCTCCACCTTGCTGCTTTCAGGAAAATCATGCAGTCATCAGAACATTTAAAAAACATATATTGTTTACTAACCTGGCATTTTTGGTGCTTTATTAGGATACTGCTCTGTCAATCCTGAATGAGGTAACTGAAAAAGCAAGCCCTGGTACAGCAAAATGGGCCTGGCTTCATCGTGGACTTTATTACCTGAGAAGTGGTCAACCGTCACAAGCAGTGGCTGAGTAAGAGAACTGGTGGTTGGTTTAAGTCCTTTTCTATAAATCCCAATGAAATGGTCTTTGATCATAGCAAGTTTTGAAAATAAGTTAGCTGCTAATAGGATGGCTTGTACTAAACAATGGGAGATGGGTCTAAGTGAGCTGAGTCTCTCTTCTGTTCCAGAATTCTTAGAATGTGGTCTTATCATAGCAGTGTTTTGTACTAACAAGCCTGGTGACAGGCATAGACGAGCCTGATATAGCACTGAATAATGAGCCACAGTTAGGTACTGTGGCTAAACTTGTATCATATCTTCTGAAGATGAAAGTGCTACTATGCTGTGTTTAAAAGTTCTGTATAATTGTGCGTTTGTGTCCTGAGTATATAATGCAAAATTAGTGTTCTGAGAGTATGTAATGCAAGGAAATACTTTATGTTAAATTGTATCACCTTTTATTTAAATAAACTTATATCTTCATATCTTCAGTTTGCAGGCAGCTCTCAGAGCTGATCCAAAGGATTCCAACTGCTGGGAGTCTCTAGGGGAGGCTTACTTGAACAGAGGTAGCTACTCAACAGCTCTGAAATCCTTCAGGAGAGCAAGTGAGCTGAACCCAGGGCTCATGTACAGCATTTATAGAGCTGCAGCACTTGAGCAGATTCTAGGCAAATACGAAAATGCTATAGCTACCTATAAACAAATTTTAAAGAAGACAGAAAACTATGTGCCTGCACTGAAAGGTAATGTCTGAATTTGAAAGTGTTCACTCATTCTCTCTCTACACACTGTAGTGCTTCAGTCTTTTGGAAGAGTTTTTGGTGTATTGAGGTTTTCCTGCATGGAAGGATAGGGTTATATTTTGGCTTTGTAGAGCCATGTGATGCCCTGCATGAAAGCTAGTTTGTAGTAGCCCTCAAATATCTGAAGAACTCTTAAATCATGATGAATGATTATTTCTCTTTCAAATAAGTATAAAAGGTAATTAATCCTTGGCCTACCAGACCAAGTGGGTGGAAGAATTGAGGACAGATAGAGGAAGCCAGCTAACAGTGCTGAAGTTTCACCTAACCAGTAACACTTTGGCTCAACAGGCAATGGAATCCGACTGCTATTTCAAAGAGGAGGGCTTATAGTAATTTTCTGCTGCTCCTGACCATGCATTCCTCAAGTCTTGTGTTAGCCTAGTGATCCAGAACAATCTGAGCTTCCACAAGTAATGAAAAAATAGCAGTAAATCCCAAGAGGTCTCACAGGTGTAGCAAGAGGTAGAGATCTTCAATATATATAGCTAGAAGCAGAGAGAAATAGGGCAACTGGAACTTCTTCCTGGTGATGGAACTGTGATTCTGAAATTATATAATACAGGGATTACGTAAAATTTTAATAACAAATTAACTAATAATAAAACAATTATTGAAATAACGAATAACAATTAGTAATTGTTCTGTTTGCATTCTCCCTGCCACTTAGTCTTCAGTCGTTCTCACCCCATATACCTCTCTGAAACAGATGTTTTTTGTTCCTTGATACTGGTATGAATCTTCAAGTATTCATTCATTGTGTGTAAGGCCTCTTGATTTCTGGGTGAATCTAAACTGATTCTTGTAAGACTTAAGTCAGAAGTGTTGGGTTATTATTGCAACAGTAAGCTTTTTATCCAAAAAAGTTGGTCTGGTTGGCACCTGTACTTCCTCCTCTATAACTTCATTGATTTGGATTTTTTCAGACTAAAGTGGCATGGCAAAAGCTCCATGATGGAGTTGAATAGTATTGTAGATAGGCAGTTTTACTAATCATTAGGCAAGAAGGTAACAGCTGACTGCAGCAGCAGTTTGTAAAGGTCTTGTATAGAAGTTAGCACATGTGTATGGCTTTTTTAATGTCTGTAGGTAATGGTTGACAGTGTTAATTGGAGTAAAATGCTTTGAGAATGCATAAGTGCACAGTATCAATATTTCCCCCCACAGCTGCCTTTGTACCTACACTTTCCTTATATCTCCACTCTTTCTTTGTAATCCCTCTCATCCTAATCTCTGGTTTGTTAGCTCTAGATCCTACTTTGAGTCTCAAAACAGTCTTCACTTTCTCAGAGGCTGTTCACAATGTTTAGTCTGGTGTGCTAACTTCTGTGGACCTTAAAACTCTCTGAAGTTCTTTTACTTTCTCATCAGTGTTTTTTTGCTGATTTTCTGAGTTGTTGGAAGCATTGTCTCCTAGTAATGAAAGAATAACTACTTGACTGCATCTTTTCAGTGTGTTTTGGTTTTGTGTTACTAAATGATATGTTTATTCTGCCTCTGCTCTAGCATATCTTTTAATGTATAACTTGGGGGAATAAAATTGATTTTGGTTTTAGATTATAGAGTGTCTTGACATCTGATAAGCTTACGACCTTGGGACTTCTGTGTGGTCAAGACGTATCTATTGGGGCCAAGATAAAGATGTTTGCAAAATGTAAGTTTGGTATAGGTGCAGGGTGCAATAGCATGAGGAAGATAGCTACAGAACTGTCAGTGTGAGAGTGGTGCTCATATCCAGTGATTTACTGCCAGATAGAATCACTGCTGGTGCCAGAAAGATACAAGCTAAGCAGTTACTCATTCCAAAGTGCTAGAAATTGTGCCATGAGATGCAGTTCCTTTTTAACAGTGGGATTTATTTCCATTGGTGGTGGGTTGACCTTGGGTTCCAATCTTCAGAGTGCAGAGAGGCAAATCTTATCCCTTGATCCACAAGTGCGGAGAGGAGAAAAGTTCAAATATAGCTGGAGCAAGATTAACACACAAACGAGGCCAAATGTTGGTAACCAAAACTGTAATTCACTTTTATTCCCTATTAAAGAGGAGAGAAAGGAGGAAATAGGAAAGTAGGAAAAAGCAAAAAATAATTACAGAAAGCAGGGTATAGTCACCACCATGGATCCAGTGGTGTTCGATAGATCCATTCCTCTTTTGTCCTTTGGTGGGGGAGATCTCTGTCCGGGGGTGTCAGGTACTTTCTTATATACAGTCTGGGTGGCTCACTTTACGGGAGGCTACAGCAATGGCACGTTTGCCATGTGTGGACTTACAGCAATGGCACGTGCACCATGGAGTCCGTGGCGTGTCTCCTCTCAAGATTTTGATCACCCCCAACCCACTACTGAAGTGGGGGATGGTAGCCTTGGTGCTGTTCCAAACACTGCTTGTCAGCAGCCAAACCCAGACCCAGTGCACTATATGAAGTAAATTCTTACATAAATAGGATTATATAAGGTTGGCTTCAAGTATTCCTGAAAAAAAGACTTTCCCTTTTGCCTACTGTGACTTTTTTTTTTTTTTTTTTTTTTACTCTGCAATTCACACTTAACAAGATAGATTGAAAGCAAAATCTCTGTTGTGAGCATTATGGGTCTTTTGATTTTGTGGTAAGTTTATAACCTGTGCAGGGTATAAATCTTTTTATAAAGCAGAGCACTGAGCAGGCTTCCACACTCCCTCCCCACCTTATTTTTTAAGTATATCATAAAAGCATCTCTTCATAGATGATATTTTCTTTTATTTTCAGGACTTGGTGAATGCTATCTCATGCTGGCAAGATCAGCCCTGGATAACTATTTGGATAGGAAGGCTGTGGGTTACATAGAGCAGGCTCTTGAATATTTCACAAGGTTAGTACTAAATACTCACTTATTTAATTTCTCCTGGGATTGTGCATTGACAGGCAGAAGAATTGAAGTTAAGTGTTTGAGGATTTTTTTTCAGTTAAACTGAATCAAATGGACTAGAGCTTCTAATCTAGAAGTGAGAATGTGCTTATTGAAAATGGTTTAAATAAATTCTAAATGTAGACTGCTTAAATGAATGGCTATTATAAAGTTTTGGGTTTTTTCTGTTTGAAAGATACAGAATCATTTGATTATAACAGAAGTGTGAAATGACACACAGTTCTCTCCAGCAGTCCTCCTGATATTTGGGACTGGAAGGAGGTGATTCCTACCCAAAAATAGTGTATAAGAGGAAAATATTCCTTCCTTCCTTCCTTCAATCTTTTTGTTTTACATTTCATACAAAATGCTTTAGTGTCCTAACTTAAACCTTGAAATAACTACTGTTGGAAAAGAAGGTCATTAAGTTTCTGCAGATGAGACATGTCTTGTAATATGACATGGTAGTCCTCTAAAATGCAAGTGTGTGTAGTCAGCTGACATGTTGATAGATTGGCTATTTTTTAGAATTTTAGTCCCAACAGTGTTGGAATATATTGACATTTTGTGGTTTCTCTTTTGTTTTTTATTTATTTCTTGATTTTGACATTTTAGACCTATAGCTTGAATAGGAAGAAACTGAATTAAAATCAGACAGCTCATTGATGAATTGCATTTGAGACTGTGCCACTCTTCGAAGTGGCAAACTTCTCTTCAGAAAAGGATATTGAAATGCCTGAATGAGTGTTTTGTGAGTCTTCTGTATAATTAATTACAGGGCAATAAAGGACCGTCCGGATATATCTTGCCTCTGGAAACTTTTTGGAGATACCTGTACTAGTGTGCATGTTATTTCACCAAGCAAAGTGCATGTTCAAGTACTAGGATCCCTTCTTTGGGGAAAAATGAGTAAAAACACAGACAAACAGACGCTGAACAAAAATGAGCTGCTCATACTTGGAGGAAGGTAACACTTTTTTTTATTATCAAGAGCTTCTGTGCAGCTTGAAACTCTATGGAGTCTTAAATATTCTAGATTACTTTATTTCTGGCAAATGAAAAACATGCTGATCTGTTGACAGCTGCGTAGTGGGTAAATAGATTCTTATGTTTCTTCCAAGTTACACTACTCATTTCAGTGTATGTTTCCTGTATTGCCACAGTGGCTATCAGCACTTCATCTAGCATCTGCTCTTCTCCTTGTTTTTGTCTCTGGCATGACTGCATCCTCCCTGCTATTCCACAAATCATGCCTCTTTAAATGGAGTGATTGTAGTATTTGCTAACTAATTCTCCCAGGACAACTGAAGTCCAAGATAATGCTTTTAGCTCTCTGTCTGTACTTCATTCTTGTAAAAATGTTGTAAATTTAGAGGTTTAGAGTGCATTGAAAGAGAAAATTCCTTGTTCCGAAGTTCATGATCTAGAAAATATTTGCAGTATTTCTGCAGCCTCTTCTGTGACTCCCTCTGAGCTTTTTGCAGCTGGATGTGTAAGACAAAGAAATGTAGCTGCTTAGTGAATCTGAAACACTATCTGTAAAGTCAGATAGTTCCTGGGGGAATTCTGATAAAATTTAAAAATGACTGATTTTTGTTTTAAGTAAAAACGTGCATAATGTAACTGACAGAGCTTTGATTTAATAATGCACACCTACATAACCACACCTGTGGCTTCACAAGTGGTGGGCACTGCAGGCTGCCTTTTGTCATGGAATCTATTCTGGTCTATAAGTGTCTAAATGAAAAGGTATTAGTTGTTTTTTGCTTTCCATACTTGTCTGGTTTTGTGTTGCTGGTTTAGATTTTTAAGCAGTCTTTTGAATGGTCTTTCAGCTTTCTGCTCTTTATGTAGCAACTTGGAATAATTGATTCTGTGATTCATGTTTCTGTAGGTGTTATGGCAGAGCTTTAAAATTGATGCCTTTACCTAGCATATGGTGTGATCTTGGAATAAATTATTATCGACAAGCAGAGCACCTCACAGCAGTGGGCACTGACAAGAATGAGATCAGTGAACTGCTAGAGAAGTCCTTGCAGGTATTGCGTGTTTTTCCTGATACATTCTTTAAATTGACTTTCATGCTTCTCTTCATACTCCTCTGTCCACAATAAAACCTATATCTGAAAAAGTAAGTGCATAAAGACTTAATTTTTGTTCTCCTAATAATTATAATCCACATTTGAATTTCTTCCAGTGTCTCAAAAAGGCTGTAAGACTTGACAGCAAAAATCATCTTTTTTGGAATGCACTTGGTGTAGTTGCTTCTTGTAGTGGTAAGTCTTCAGCAAAAGGCCTAGCAGTGTACTAACCTAAATTGGAAGGCAACTTGACTAATGGTGTTTCGAAATTCAGTTAGATCTAGCTGTCCTTTTTTCTTTCTCCCCCCAGCTATTGCGAATTATGCTCTTGCTCAACATTCGTTCATCAAATCTGTTCAAGCTGAGCAAATTGTAAGTGCTGCAGGCAGCTTCCATCTGTTTCAAGTGGGCATTTAAAACTTTTCCCTGATGCAGTGTTATTTTTGCATAGTGATTTTAACTTTATTTGTTCTATCTAGAATACTGTTGCCTGGACCAACTTGGGGGTTTTGTATCTGGCAACTGGAAACGTTGAGGTAATCTATTTCCCATCCTCAAATATTATTTCCCTTTCCATTTTTTTTTTAAGGGTGTATCTGCTGATGGGAGTGTGGGGAAACTGAGAAGAACGTCCCTTTCAAATTCAAGAAATGTACTTCCTTCAAAAGAAATAAAATTGGCACCCACACTTCACTTCAGGAATGCAAATCAATTTACATATTTGTTCTGGGGGGAGTAAGGTTAAGTGAATTGTTAATTCTACTGCATTGGCGAGGTTGCTGTTCAAGCAGCTGGATAGAATGAAAACTTACTGGAAGGACTGAGAAGTGGTTAGTCAAACCAGAGCATGCCTGGTTTGACCAAGAACTTTTAGTTGTCACAGACTGAATTTCAGTGTTTGAGTTCCCATAAGTAGCTACTTTCTGCTCGTCTACAGATGTGTATTTACTGGGACACTCTAGCCTTACAGAGTTTCTATGGAGGAAAATTACAGTATATCTTAAGTGAAGCCTGGAGCTCTTATGCAGCTAAAGTACATCCTGTCCTGTTTGCTCGTTAGAATTAAAGAAATCTTATTTAATTGAAAATCTGATGGTCAGAATTTTTTAAAATAAAAATAACTTAATACTACAGACTGCTTGCTGCTAAGACTACTAATGCTAACATTTCCTTCACCTTGTGCCAAATTGAGGAACCCTTTAACATATGCAGTCAATAGGGAGATGACTTGTGCATGATAATCAGTTTTATGCTTTTGAAAATGCATGTGTTTAACTACTTGCATTACAGAAAAGCAAATTTTCAAAACTGGATTCTTCAAGAATCATATTTTTAAATATTACTTGTCCCAAGGGTTAATTTAGCTTCTGAACTCTTTTGGTGCTATAAGAAGGAAGTATATTTGGAAGAGACAGTAACTTTTATGTTGTAAAGTTTTTAAGGTTTTTAAAAATTTTATTTAAGAGTAAACCTGTTTATTTCTCTGGGCAATGCATTGTTCTGCAAGGCACAGTAGATATTTTAGTAGTGACCTAATTTGGTCCATTAAATCTCTTCTAATACTTGATAATGTTGATACTTGTGTGTTCTCAGAAGTACTCCATTGCCATACCAGGCAGTTCAATAACACTGTTATCTTCATTTTACAGCAAGCTCATGAAGCTTTCAAGGTAGCCCAGTCTCTGGAGCCTTCTTACTTGCTGTGTTGGATTGGACAGGTATGATGAAAAATCCTAAAACTGTGCACCAAAACCAGTTGTCAAAGAGTGGACTTGAACTTCATCCTAATAATTGGCACTTATTCATGTTCCTAAAAATTGTTTGAATTAAAGGAAACTTACAGTTTCTTGAAGGTGGATAGGAGCCATTGTTTCCATTTTGATGATATATTCATCAAATACATTTGCATAATGGCTGATGTTGTGAGTTCAGTAAAAAACTACCAACAGAGTATATTAACACTGTGCTCTGAGGCTTTTTATTGACAACGGTCAACAAAGTGCTGTCTTCATAAGGTGATAGTTGTTTCAGCTTCTGCTGTATCAGTAGTTCGTTATGGGGAACCACCTAATTCTCTTCTCAGTCTCCCCTTTGTAACACCACTGTTAAAACAAGTAAGCCTCTAATGTACCTAGGATAAAGCACTTTGCATTTTTTGAGAAGTGTCTTCCTGCCCTACCATTGGGAGTTGATGTGCTCCTGCTGGTATTTAGGCTGTCTGTGAATAGTTGAGGTACTTCTGACTCATATTCTTATCATCACTATAGATACACGTCATAATGCTAATGATCATCTAATTGAAACTGGATTCTAGAAGAGAACTCTCACCATCACGTTGAAATTCAGCTCCTCTCAGATGTTTTTATACATTGTTCTAACACAAGTCTTTATATTGAAGAACGTAGAGTAGCAGCAGAAGACTTTAAATTACTGATACAGTGGAAACTCCAATCTTCCTTGGAGCGTATGAGGAAAAGGAAGTGTCTTCATGTTGAATGTTTAAGATATACCTGACATAACACATACTGAGTTTTTTGTCAGTGTCACGATTTTTAAAGTACCTGACCACAACTCTTTCTTCTCTATAGGCTCTTATTGCAGAGATGGTAGGCAGCTATGATACTATGGATCTCTTCAGGCACACAACTGAACTCAATATGCATGTGAGTGTAACAGTTGTATTGTTCTGAAGTTTTTGTATCCAATCTCTCCATTTATGAGATTTAATTTTTTAAAAAATAGGTATATCTTCAGTAGTGAAACTCTTACAATCATGTTTCAAATGAAATTGGGTTACTTCCGTTTTGTTGTTCCTGGCTTATGCTGGCACTGTATAGCAGCAGTTATCGTATTAAATGCCTTAGTCCCAAGAGTCCAAGAAATTAGTTCCGTAACTAATGAGAAACCATTCTTCATGTTCCCACAGACTTGGACATAGATCAAAGGCATAAATTATAAGTATTTCAGGAGAGAGCAAGGACCCTGAGTCCCAAGAAATTGGAGGACTTATTCTCTTAAAGCTTTTTTTGTTGTCATCCCTACAGTGATGCAGCAAATTGTATGAAAATTTAAGAATTTACTTTGCCCAAAGGGCAAGTTAAAGTGTGTGGAGTAATTAAATCTGTTATGTTCTTCTGCTTAACGCTGATGCAGATTGTTGGCTGAAACTCTGTCCTAAAACACTAAATTGTTATTATAATCTCTAATTATTTTGCTGTATCTTGAGCAGCTTTAATGACTCCTCTTTTGGGGGTGTTTGTTTTTTAAGGCTGAGGGAGCAAAAGGCTATGCCCACTGGGTATGTTCAACACTGCAGGACAAAGCCAATAGAAACACTGAACTATATTTGTACAACATTGTTCAAATGAATGCTATCCCAGCAGCCCAGGTGGTATTGAGCAAATATACAGGTAGGTAGTTTAAATATCTTTCTAACCTGTCACACCTACGAGATGCATTCAGAATGAACAGATAAACCTGTAGTAATATCTGGACAAGAGCGGTCTGGCTGAGTTGGGGAGAGGCTTTTGAGCTGTAAAGTAATCAAAACAGAGACGGTTGACTTTTATTGTCACACAAAAATGAAGCATGTTCATTCTGTTTGCTTACTCATCTTAGTAGATTTTGTTTCAAAGACCAACAAAAATAGGGACCAAGGCCTTGTCATGCTTGTCATAAAGTGTTTGCTCTCAGACTCCCTTTGCATGTGTCTATATGAATAGGTGCAGATAGATGCTAGATCCTCTGCCTCTGTGCTATGATGCTTGGCAAAAGACTCTTCTTAGGTGCTGTGTAACTCCATAGCCTTAAGAATATGATTGTGTTAACCTTGAGTAGGTGACAGACCGTGGTTTTGCACATAGTTCCAAGGAGCCTACACTTTGAAGTAGGCTTGCATATGTCTAGCCTCGAAAGTAGGCATAGCAAATGTGGATTTTCATTAATCTGCAATTATTACTGTAAATAAATCATTTGAGTAATCTGTTGCTGACTTTTGAGAGCTAATAAATAAGGTGCAAGCACTCTAAATGAGATAAATGTGAGACTGTATTTCTATATGTCATTGCTGTTCTTATGTGGACTGCTGCAGGGGCATCCTTCCTAGTCTGGAAAGAAAAGTTACAAGTCTGAGATGAGATGACAGCTGAGAAGTCTGTGCCTTACCCATTTTGTAATTCTGTGATTAATTGCTAAGGTTAGAAGGGACCAGAGTGGGTCATCTGGCCAGAGCTGGGCTCAAGCAGCGTTATCCTAGAGCACTTTGCACAGAATTGTTCCAGAGATGTAATATTAAAAATAAACAATAGGATTCTACTAATATTTTACTAGGGTAGATAAGAGATGAATACTTTCGTATTTCATTAGGAAAGAAAAAAAAAAAAAAAGTGGTGTGCCGAGAAACCCAAAGTATTTTGAGTGCATTACTTCTGTGTCATATTTTAAACATTTTTGAGCTAACCTGATGTCATACTGTGGGTCTTCTATCCATTCTGTATTTGCCTGCAGGTTGTCAAAATTATTCTAGTGAGCAACTGACAGAAGCACTTGGCAAAGGGTTTTGTATATATGCGTACACTGTAGCTTTGTAATGTTTTTTCACAGTTCTTTCTGATCTTGTTGTCCTATTGTCAATTCTAATTTCCTAGAAAGAAATCCAGATGATGCATCTGCTTTCACAATGCTTGGTTATTTGAATGAGTATCTACATCTAAAACAGCAGGCAGCATATGCGTATGAGAGGTAAACTGTACACCCTTGGAAAGCTTGCTTATAGAAGCTCATTGACCTCTTTCACACACCAGCTGAAAAACTTTATTAAAGAGTTTTTCTCTTCCTTAAATAAACAAACCTTACTTTGTCAGTTCAGCAGTACATATCGACTAAGTAGGGGGAGGTGTGGGAATGTTCCTATACTGAATTTGGAAATGCTGAACGTAGAACTGGAAAAGTAAAGATATTCCAAGGCTTGTGTGTCTTACCAGGACATTTAACTAATTCACTGTGTGGGATTTAAGTAAAATCTTGGGTGCAGGTAAGCTTGGGCTTAGTTCTATTCTCTATCCCATGCTAATTAATGGATATGTTAGGGCTTTGGGTTTTTTTTTCCCTTCTCTCTTGTTTTCAAATGGTAGAGGAATGTAACAATTAAACAATGTTTGGTCAACATGTTTGTTGATGCAAAAATAGTAAAATAAGCTCTGTTTGTGTTTAATGAGCATAGAAAAGCTTCTGCATAAAACTGTTGAGCATTCTGCGCTGAGAACTATTCTCAAAATATGCAGATGGTAATTATTTTTCACTGTGGTTAATTTCAGGGCAGCTTCATTGCTGAAAAACTCTGAGGATACTGAGAAATACAATACAGCAATGCAAAACTATGGCAGGTCACTGTGGTAAGTGTTGATGTCATTTTCCAAGTCACTAAGTTCAGTTTTGAAAAGCACTGGCCCAAAACATAGTGAAGCTTAAAGATGAAAGGTCATTGCTAAACACAGTCTATTAAGCATAATTCTTAACTGTAGACAGGTTTGACTGAGCTTTGTATTTGCTCCAGAAACGTGTAGTGTATTAAAAAGAAAAATGAATTGCAAGGAGTTGCTGTATGTCTTCAGAGGTATCAGTGATTCCCTTATCATTAGCTTGATACTGTAGTGCCTTATTGTAACCTATACAATGTAGCTGTTGTATAGTCTCCAGAATAAATTGTGATTTTATTTTTTTTTAGGTTTTTTTACAGTCTCCACATGTGAGATCTGTAATAGGCTTAGTCTGCATAAAATAGCTACTTTAAGACTTATTCAAGATCTTTCTGCCTGCCCTTTGAATTTGCATTGACTTGTACAACCAGAAGCATGTGTGGTTGGGGTGTTGTGTACATGTGTGATTTTTCTGCTCATGAACTCCTCTGCTGTAGTCGTACTCACAGTTCTAAGTTCCCTTCATGATACTCTTCTGGTTCTGAGGGAATGCAGGACACAAGTCTTAATAGATGAAGACTTTCAGACTTCTCTTTGATATGAAATAGCTCAAGCTGTGCTAATTAGATATTTGTTAGCTCTCTTGAGAAACCTCATATATTCTTAAGTTTCTGTACATGATGCTGGAACTTCTAGCCTGTGGTGATGTGATAAGTCATTAACTTCAGAGAATATTTTAGAAGCAATTCTTTAGATTCCTGTAGTCTCACATCCAAGCTATATATGTGTTTACTTAGGTGTGTAACTTAGACAAGAGCAAAGCTCTAGTAATTATTAAGTAGTTTAATAAACACAATCCTGTATTATTTCCTTCATAGTGGTCTTAGAACAAGAATGCTGTAAAGTCTGTCTGTATGTGCACTTGCCTGTCTGTGTGCATGCATAGTTTGATTTGCTTTTTCCATGTTTCTCCTTTGATATTTTCTCCAATTCCATTGTGTTGACCATTAAGTGGCATCTGTTATGCAGGTGGGGAGGGCTTTTTCCTATTAATTACTCTTCATGCAACAGATAGTTGGAAAGATTAAGTGCTGTAACTGAAGAAGGGTGGTGAATATTGCACATTCTTGTCCTGATTTTTTTTTTTTTTTGCTGTGGTATCTGCTTAAAACTACTGTGTAAAAGAGGATACTGGTCTTCAAGGACAGTTTATCTGAATCGTAGCAGCTGTTCTACAAGCTTCATACCAGTAATTTTATTTTTTTCACAGTGCCCTTGATCTGTGTGACAAGGCCATTGAAGTTTATGCGTCAATACCCCTAACTGAGTTTGATGGCATTGTGGGGCTAGCATTAGCTTACTTCAAGAAAGGACTCTTAGAAGAAAGTATCAAAGGTAAGATTCAGAGGCACTTCTCTTGAGGTTAATCTTAACAAAATTTGTCTGACCAGCTTAGCTGTCATTCAGTTTATTTTGCTCTTTCAGTCCTGGTGCATAAGTACAAACTCCACAAGCACTTTAGCTTTAGTGTTAAATATGGTTCTGTGCCGTGGTCTGCACTGCTAAGATGTGAGACTTCACAAAAACACATACTGAATTATCAGTGTTGAAGAGTAAGCACTCAGAAAGGAACAGCTATCTCAGTGTTTTAAGTAATCTTGTATTTTGATTGGAGTGATGTGTGCCCATCTGAAGCAGTATTTCATAAATGAACTATCACTATTGCTACTGTGTTCTAGAGGCTTTTTCTTAGTATGTCAATACTGCTTTGCAGTTCTGTTTCCACTTGCTAATGCTGAATAACTCCTAGGTTCTAAGCAGTAAATCGGTGAGTCTTAGTTGAATTTTTTTTGTCTTCTGCTTATGATTTTAGGTGTGAAAATATATTGAACCTGAACCCAAAGTGTCTATCTCTTTTCTAATACCATGCTTTAAAAACACTGTGTTTTTTCTTCTACTTCAATTCTGAGTCTTGAATTTTTACCAGCCTATGAAAAAGCCCTGTCTGTTGCTGAGTCTGAAAAGGATAGAGCACATATCCTGACTGCCTTGGCAATAATAGCATATAAACAGGACAAAGTGGATGCTGCAAAGACACTGCTGTTCAAATGGTGAGTAGAGGTAATAATAACTAGCATGTGATATTTAATTGTGCTACTGAATCCTCACATTTCATTTTTGTGGGAACTCAGGTGGATATTTTCTTTTTGTATTGCAGAATAAAAGTGGAAATGGATGCAGTGCTCTTAACTGCTGTGATATATCTGGTTTTGTTTTACAGCCTATGTCTTCTACGTTTTTAAAGCAGTAGGGAGTGGAAGGGCTGGGCAGTTTGGATGTCCATCATCCTTGAATGATAATTTTGAAAACTTTATCTTTTAAGATAATATTGCTTTGTAGTTTACCTAAGCACTAGGCAGTATTTTTGGTCTTTAGCTGTAAGAGCTCTAGATGGCTAGTGAAAACAATTTCAGTTTAAATAGTAGGAAGTCTCCGGAACAGTTGTGTTCCAATCATCATAGACAAAGATAAGCCTGTAGCTTCCCCATGAAAAGAAACAGATCTGTATTAGTTGTGCTGTTAAGTGGTGAATGTCTTTTTTTTTTCAGATCTGTGTAACCTAAAAGCCTGTGCATCATCGTTTTACTCCAAAGCTACCGGGAGACTGAGTTAACATCTCAGCCTCTCAGGGTCAATCCTTTGTCAGTAGAGAACTCCAGTAGCGGCAGTACAGTACACCATCTTGCCAGCAGCCTCCTGATGTTACTGAAACAGTGAAGATCCATTACTTAGTACAATCTAAATCCCATATGATTCATGATTAGATAGCTAGGAACCTGATATTTCCTACATCCTATAAATCACTGCGGACTTCTGTTTTTGTCATAAACATCAGCAGTGAGAGTTTTCTGGATGACCCTGTTTGTCTTTAAAAAAGGAAAAAAAACAGTAAATGGTTTAGGAAAGGAACATCACAGTGAATATGTCTAGATCTGAATTTTAAGCACAGTGCTGCAAAGGTATATGGTGGATTTTAGTAATAAGAACAAAAATGGTGCGTTCTGGTCCAATAGACAGATGTCTCTGTCTGGAATTCATACTAGATGACCTAAAGGGCCACAGTAGGACCTTGAACAAGAAGCTACCTTTTTAATTTCTCATATCCAGCTTGACACAGAGGCTTTTAATAGTGAGTATGTCTTGATAGCTTCCTAATGTGATAGGATACTATTTCTTACTTGTCAAAGAGTGGCTTCTGCTTGTGTTTAACAGCTCTTAATTTTTTTCTTGCTTAGGTTTGAAAATAAAACAGAATCAGAAGCTTATATGCTTGTCTTTTTTTGAAGACAAAATAATCATTAAGGACTTGATTAGGAACCTGTAGCGACCTGATACTGAAGGATACAGATCTAGTTTGATCCACAGTGAGAGACTGTTAATTCTGTGTATCATTCATGATACAGAGGAGAAAGAAGACTCAGAAATATACAAGTACTCTAATGTTAACAGCAAATTTAAGTTGTGCTCTTTCCCTCTCTCTGGTTCAACAGTTCATTAAAGGAACCCAGTATGGAAAGTCTGAAGGCTTTGTGCACACTAGGACTGGTAAAGCAGGATGCAACACTTGCAACAGCTGCCCTAAAAGAATTACTGAAGCATGAAAAAGGGGGTGATGGGATTTATGAGCGGTGCCTTACTGCATCTGCAGTTTATGCATTACAAGGTAGAAATGTGGGCATCCAGAGAGAAGTGTCCAAAGCAGTGCACAGGTAGGTGGTTTGTCGTGCTTCAGATTACCCTGTAAATGTATTGCTTTGATTACATCAAACAGTAAGCAAACCTCTGTTTACTTGCATCATTCTTCCAAAAAAAAAAAAAAAAAAAAAAGTTTTTCAAAGGTGAAGTCCTCACTTAAGGTTGTCGCATCAGCTGACATAAGTTTGCTTTCTGATTTATTGCAGAAGTTTCATGGCTTATTCAGTATTTTCTGGTTTTGTTTTGGTGACTTCTTTGATAGCTATATTAGTTCACTGTTCTATGAAAGCATCTTTCATCATATTTAACATAACCTTCAGTCTAGAAAAGTCTCTAGGGTCTTTATTTAATATTTTAAAACAGCCTTTGAAGCTATCTGTTCCATTAGCTAAATGTCTGTATTTAAATGTGTTTTGATTAGCCTTACCCTTCTGTGCCTTTAAGAAAAACACACTTCAGTCTTCTAAGTGTTTTTGGAAACTATTCTTCATGCAAATTGTATTTCTCCAACTACAATTAAAATTCCTTGTTCTTCACACTCTGGGGACAAGTGTACTAGTTTTCTTCCTATGAATATTGATATGCATATTGCCCATTTTGTTTCTTTAGTTAGCAATATAACTTCAATATTTTGTTGTTTGTTTTGAATTACTACCCATGTCTATTATCTACTACACTTCATTGTTTTCTTAATAGAGAAATTTGGTATCTATAGCAACTGCCTACTGAGTCATGGAAAACCAGGTGCATATCTAAATCAGAGAGTCTAATATCCTTTTCTTTTCCCAGTAACCCGGATAATCCTGCTCTCTGGTCCCTTCTATCTCGAGTGGTTCCACTGTCTGCATCACAAAAGGCAAAAGTAAGTGCATTACTGTAAGATGTGTGGTGTTTACATCCTGAGTAGTCTGTGTTGTTTTTTAACTAAAAAAAATTCCTACCCTTCAGTATGTGGACTTTCACTAGTTAATATGAAATCTTAAGGCTTACATACACAGCAGTGCACAGTCACATACAGAACTTGTATACTATTATTTCCATTTTTCATGAGGTAACAGCTTCTGATCTTCTTGAAATAAACTTAGAGGAAAAGTCTGCTAGAATTGTTCCAACAATAAAAGGCTCTACTATGTATCGTTTTATAGAGATGTATAGGTGTATCGTTTTATAGAGATGTATAGGTGTATCGTTTTATAGAGATGTATAGGTGTATCGTTTTATAGAGATGTATAGGTGTATCGTTTTATAGAGATGTATAGGTGTAAATAAATATATATTAAAATTCATGTATTCTATTTGATTAATCTAGTCGATTTCACTTTTCACGTTAGCCAGTGTTTCCTTACCACTTTTGTGCTTACTGTTATCTTTTCTCCAAATAAATACTCTCTCTTAATTTATGTTAATTATGTAAACAGAAATAGCACTTGAAAACAAACTCCTTTGTATATGGCACTAATATCAGAAACAGATCATATGGATAAGCTCTAATCCCAAATGTTTCTTCCTTATTTTTTTATAAAGAGATTGTGCTATAAGCAAGGAAAATACCTCATTGTGCAAATTCTATATTCATGATGAACAAAGATAAAACAATACTGGCATTATATTCTGCATAAAATTAATTAGTCAGGTAACCAAATTAATTGGGCTTTTTTTTCATCTTGCAGGGGGGAGCTGTGGCAGGAAATGTCGCACATATACTTGATGTAAAGCATGGAAAGGTTTGGCTTTCTTAAAATGAAGATTTCGTAATTCCATAAACAATCCTAAAGTTAATTCCATCTAGTCACTTACAGTTTTAAGTGACTCTTATGTTCTGTTTTATAGGAAGTCCTGCTGAATATTGCAGTTAATCAGTTGGCAGCAGGATGTCACATGCTAGAAGATGAGAAAAACAACCCTATAAAAAATATCCAGAGGGCCATCCACATCTGTCCAGGTTACTCTTGTTTTCAAACACAGTAGTGATTTTTAAAATTTTTACCCATCAGGAAAATTACTGGATTAAGAAAAGTAGATTTCTTTTCTTAGGTTGATTTGTCGTTTAGGGTTATCCGTGTATGTTTTGGGGAGAATGCTTAGAGTTGAAATTTTCATTGTCATTCCAAGTTTAGACAACGGGAATTAAACCAGACAAGAAGAAAAATGTCACTGGGTTTTGAGGCTTGTTCTGAAAATGTGGGCAATTTCTTAATCCCTCAGCAGGAGAAGACATTAGTATTATTTAGTATGTTAGGAAAAATTCTATTAGAGCCAGTATGAAACACAAAGCAGAAGAGAATAATTCATTTAGCTTGAGAATTTTGATTGGAAAGGTTCTGTTACCATGTATGGGTTATGAACTATAGACAACTGTTCTCTTACTAAATGGTGTTCTTCCTATAAGTGTACCAAGCAAAAACCTAGCATGGTTTTCAGTTTCTAATTTGCACTTGATGAAATACCAAAATGTTGTTTCTTCTGCAGTCATTTTGCTCTGATGCGGAAGGGTGACTCTAAGTAAAAAATTCCAGTTACTTTCCTACAGGAACACACAAGAATATGACTGCTAATCAAAAACGGAATAGTTTTCATTTTACTTTGTTGAATCTTCAAGCTTTTTTTCAGTTTGCTGGCAGATTTAATAAATTCTCTTAGGGGTAAAAATTTACATAGATGAAATCTTTAAATAATCACTGTCCAGTTCATGACAGAGACCACTCTTCCAGTAGTAGGTGTTCTTCACAGGGCTAGGTCAAGGTAAAAATGACACTGGAATTAACTGGCATTGGAAGCAGGCACTTACTGCTGTAACTTTAGTGTAACAGTTACTGCTGTACCTGTTAGTGGTCAGATTAGACTGTATGACTAAAAGCTGTGGATGGCATCTTGGGATTTTTGCTGCCACTGTGACAGCACTAAGTGATAACCAAGGTTAATCTGTGTAGTCAGAAATAAACTGGCAGCTTCAGGTTAGCACACTAGTATTTATGTAAAAATACATTAGTTGGTTTTAGGAACAGAATCTTCCTTTTATAATCTGACAAATCTTACTAGTTAGAGGCAAGTAGTTATCAGCTTCCTTGGACTGAGTTCTGTTACTCGTCTTGTTGTTGCTATCTGTTATTTACAGTGTATAATTCCATTGGTAACTATGTTTTTATGCTTAATCTGGTAAAGACCATTCTAAATGAACTACCAGTGTATTTAGAATGGCACGAGTTGCCTTTGACCATTCTTTTCTAGATAATCCTGCTGCCTGGGCAGTGCTTATGGCAGCCTGTCATGCTGAAAACACTGTTGTCTGTCTAAACAACACTCAGCCGAAACGAACAGGTCTGGAGATGACACTTGTATCTACGGTTTCAGCCAAAAGTAAGTTATAAAAGTTTTCTCTTTAAAAAAAACAAAATAAAATTGATCTAAGCTTGCATTACTGTTCTGAACTTGCAAATAGGCTCAGTCATGGTTTGAGCTGTATTTTACACATAAAAATGCTAAATTCTAATGCACAGCTAGGGTTAATTATGTAAGGGCACCTTGCTTTCCCCTCCAAAGCCTGAAATGGTTTTTTAAAATAGTACTTCTGAACTCTGATGCCTAAATGGATGGTTGTGGGTGTATTGCATTGCCGCAACACTGCTTATGAGGAAAGACTAAAGTATGCTTGAGTTCTGTAACTTTTCCATTAGAGGCTCAATTTTGCTCAGTGTCTGTAGTGTTCTGAAAACTGGAATTAAAATTCCATGTTTGATTGATTGTTCCTGAATCATGAACTCAAATGGTGTATGCTTTTTTTCCCTTGCTTTTAATCTTGCTTTTAATTTTGCCCTTGCTTTTAATCTTGCTTTTAATTTTGCCCTCCTTCGATGTTCCTTCTAATGAAGGAAGTCATGCCAGATTAAAACTCCTAAAAGTTCTTCCTTACAGATCTGGAACACGTGGCTGTGGTGTGGCACTACAGCATAAGCACTATGTTTTACTGTCTTTACAGCTGGGGAAAGTAACCTTCCTCATAATTATGTCCGTATTCTGGAAGACTGGTGTCTCTGTCAAGCTATTACCAGTCTAGAGGAGACTGGTAAACTATCAGAAGCTGAAGCTCTTTGTAACAAGGTAAGGCGGCATCAGACTGGCAGATTGTGGTAGAATTGTATAAAAATCATTTGTATGCATTATACAAAAAGGTAATCTTTGAATTAGCAACTGTCTATTCCATCAGAGTTACAAATAGAGTAGTTCACAGAATATTCTGAGTTGTAAAGGACCCACAAGGATCATTGAGTCCAACTTTTAAGTGAATGGCCCATGGAGGCATTGAACCTGCAAGGCTGGCATTATTAGCACCATGCTCTACCCAACTGAGCTAGTTGTTGGCATATTCTCGCTTCACCAAGATGCTGCTTCTGTTTGCAACACTGAAACTGTGTTAATAGTTGAAACAAGTAGTGTATGTCATGATAAAGATAAATCTGCTCTCTCTGCCTAGAATTAACCTAGAATTAAGCAAAACGTGGAAATTCAAGGCAAGAAGTCCATGTAGGATACTGCCTGGGACTTTACTTTCTGTGGGGTTGTTATTTTGTTTCAGAGCCACAGGTTTAATTTGTAAAAATAAAAGTCTTGAGGCAATGCAGCTGGGGAAGGGGACTGGGGTGTTAAAAACATTCAAGTGTGTGTTTCATGTGTTCATGAACAGAAGACTTGGCAAAAGATAAGCAGAAAAGCTGTTGAACTCAGCAGCTCATCCTTGACTTTCATGAAGGAAAATTACTAATCCCATGCAAATGTGCTCCTTGGTTTTGGCATTTCTGTATTAACAGGGATGGGAGTGAAAAAAAACACAAACCACAAAAAAAGCAAAACCAAACAGATTTGTTGAACATGCTGGTTTTCAGGGGAAAGTACTTTCTCGTCTCTTTGTTTGCTTGGTGAGAAGGTGTTTTTCTTTTCTGGCCAACATGTCTACTGACCTGTCTTCTATTAACAAAGATCAGAGATTTCTAAATATACAAGGTGTGTCCTTCCCCCCATCTTGGCATGGGGGAAGGTTATGGAGCGGTGTGCATGTGTTTCGTTGATTAAATTGCTTAGGGAGAGGAAGTCAGTGCCTGCAATTAGTGAAGAAAGAGGGGAACAGTCTCTGGTACCACAGACTCTCAGTGACAGTTTTGGACCCTGAAATCCTGAGAAAGCCGTATAACTGAGGATAGTGAGTCTGGCACTGCTGTCATTCAGTTTGAGATAGGCAATGTGATTCCGCACTTGTTCATAGGGGAAAATTGCAGCAAATTTAGGAGCTTCTATTGTGTGTCAGAAAGTCTCTGCATTCTTTAAAAAGCAACAGCTTGCTAAGGATTCACAGGCAACATATTTCATTTTATAAAAAAAAAAGATGTGTGAAAAGTACAAGTGTTGGCTCTTAAATCTGCTTTGAATTATAGTTCTTGAAAATATTCTGATTTGAGCAGGGAAAATAACATGCAGTGAGGTTTGCTGAAGCTTCACATACTTCACCTGAGATGGATAAAGCAACGGATGGTTAGTTTTCTGTCTTTGCTATTTTGTGTGTATTTTTTCAAAAAAATTCTCTCTAGATGTCTGCTGATACTGAACAGGAAGTGTTTAGTAAAGAGCTTCTGTTCCATGGAGAATAAAGCACCTTACCTGGAAGAAGTGAAACTGCTTGAAACACAGTCAAGGTCACAGGACAGGTTTTTGCCCCTATTAATAGGCTCAAACTTGTAATGATTGACAAACCAAAGAAGAACTGTCTTTCAAACAGTTTAAGACTGTCTGAAATAATAACTAAGTAACTACTGTAAGAGTAGGATATATACAAAATTTAGGATAGACTTCAAATGTATTTTGAGGAGAGTAAAAAAGGTTACCCGTTTTCATGGGTCAGTCGCTGGAACACTGCTTTGTGCAGAGGAGGTGGAAACAGCTATGTTGCAAAACATCCTGAGAATGCTTCCAATGCTGTTTTCTGTACAGAACAAAATAGAAAGATGTATCTTTGATATTTGGGAATGATAATTCTAATTGTTTTGGTCTTAGGCTTTAAAAAGCTGCCCTGAGCACCCAACTCTGTTTTTGCTTTTGAGACAAGTTCAGTGTAAGCAGCTGTTGAAGTCTCACAAAGAACTTCCAGGCAACATCCTGGAGGAGCTTCGCAAGACAGTCATGACCAGTTCAACTTCAGTTGCAGCCTGGCAAGTAAGTGTGCATCCTTTCCCTGACTGATGTGCCAGTCTCACCCACTGTAGGAGGGTGAACGTTAGTTTCGCTGCTTGGTTTTATTTATCTGCTGACAGTCAGTGACAGAAAAAATAGCTTATATTTGGGTCATTATAAAGTTCAAATATTGTGTTAAATGTATTTAATAGTTGAAATAATAAGCACCTCTAGTAAGGAGAAGCAGACAGGAGACTTAAAAATCTGAGATAAATCCCTAGGACCTCTGTCTTTAGGGAACTGTGATTTGACATGTGAGTAGAAAACAGTGAAATATTTCATAACTTATAAGAACAGATGGAAGTCAAGGGTTTCGTAATGTAGTAATATACAGTTCCTTATTCAGGGTCTGAAAACCTGAATAAGCCTCTTCTAGTAACCTTAATTGAGGGAATTGAAATTGCTTGAAACACAATCAAGGTCTTTCTCCATAATCCCCTGACTTCAGGTGTCACTGTTCTTTTGAGTAAGTTGGTTCTGCAGAGATGAGAAATCACTCCCAGTAACAGTGTTCACTAACTCACTTCCATGGTATCATGAGTAATCCTTTTTAGCAGACATGAAGATGCAATAACTCAGTTCATATGCTGCTTCTGTGAGACAATCTGAGAAGTCTGTCTCACAAATGCCAAGAGATCTTTCCGGTGATGCAGCACATATGTTTGTTTATTTTCTAACAGTTGCTTCTAGTTTCAGTTATTATCTTCCTTTTCCAATGTAAGAAGCATATTGTTTAGAAAAATTCTGTGAGCTTTTACAGTCCTTTATATAGTTGAAGGATTTATGGCACTCCCTCTACCTGTTGATAAAATAAAACCCTCTTGTGGTATTGAAGTTGTTTTCAGTCTTAGATGCTACTGTAGAGATCATTATCTCACTTGTTTCAGGGCTGCAAATCTGCTCTTCTGAAACACTGAGTATCATTTCTGTAAAGATACTTTTTTGATGCAGTTTTCACTGATTTGTGACACTTCATCTTTCTGATCAACAGAACTCGTTCAGATTGGATTTGCAAAACAGGAGGCATGAAGGCATGATTGTATCCTCTATTTTAGTAACACATTTTGGAAATCAAATTAGGGCTTGTATACATTCTTCAAGCATCCCTTGCATAGCCAAGTCATCTTGCTTACAAGCAGGATGATAAATGAACTCAAAGTGTATGTGATGTGGGGAGTGGGAGGGCTTGATTGTTTTGGTCTTCTTAATCCAGGCCACAGATAAGCTACCTCTGAGGAAGATCTTTTCAGTCTTAATTAAAGAAGATATTTCTTAGGGCTTGGATAGCGTTCTGAAAAAGCCTGGCTGCTACATCTGTTCATAGCAGATGAATATATGCTTTTATGTTTTTTGTCTTTAGACTTCCTAAGAGTTTGATAAATGTTTTGTCTTGCTCAGAAGTATCCATGGGATGCCTCAAAGTTTTTATTAGGTTATAGGGGCCCTTAACTGTTCTTTTTGCTGAAATTTTTGGCTTTTGTCTTAATGGTTATTTTGCAGGACTTAGGAGTGCTGCTGAACTGCTATTCTGATGGCTGTTCTACTTTTTGTGCTGTGGCTTATCAGGAAAAGAGAGAAAAGCACATCTGGTAGAGCTGCCTTTGTGCCTTTGCATAAGGGTTCTCTTCTTTACATCTTGGGAGCTAGACATCTTCAGCTGCAAAGAACTGAGGCCAAGGGAACCTTTTTTTTCTTCACATGAATGAACGTTTTGGTTTACAAAGCAGTCCTGCAGCTTGATGTCAAGAATGCACAGTCTTACTAGTGCTAATTAATACTTTCTAGTGTGTCTAGTGGATAAGTAACTTCTGTGCACCAGAAAGGGTTAATAATTTTTGTCCCTTGTAACACCAGGCAGTCTTTAGCTAGCAAAAGTTTACAGGCCTTTGCTCAAAAGCAAGGGATTTTTTTTTTTTTTAACAGGAAATTGCTTTGTTTGCTTGATGATCCAGCAAAGAATATTTCTAGATGTGGCTTACACATCTTCATGCATATCAGGTACCTGTGAGGAATTCACAAACTTGTGGCTGCATCTGCTTCAAAAAATGTGATGTTAGTACAGAATTAAAGATGAAGAAGTTAGAATCCTTTTTCTTCTCTTTGTGAGGAAATCTAGGACATCTTGTGGTGGCAGAGCAGGCAGCAGAAGCATGAAACTCTGCCTCCAAGTGTCTTATTTCTTTTGTCCCATCTATCTTCTCCAGCATGACTCAGCTGGTTCAGAAACTGTGTAACACAAGTCTACTACACCCATCACCTGGATTCATGCTTATGTCATAATGTCTTTCTTCCTTACATAACTCAGATGGGTTGAGAAAATCTATCAAAAAGGTGTCCATGAGTGGTCTAGGGAAATCCCAAAATAAGTTACTGTAGTGAGGTGTACTGCCAGTTCTGCAGCAGACCACATTTTTCTGCAGGGCAGGACACAGGATATTACTGGAATGAGGTATTGTGGTGTTGAGGTGGTGTTTTAGCTAATTGTGTGCTGTGGTACTCTCATAAATTGAACTAAATGATATCGTTTAAGGGATGTGTGTTTTGGTGTCTCCATAACTGATTTTGTTGGATGTTTATTTTCAGTGGCTGGCAAAAGTATATCAGTCTCAGAGAATGATGATTGGAGCGGAGATGTGTTACAGAAAGAGTCTGCAGTTGGCGTCACAGCAGGGCAGCTGGAACGGGAAGTTATCCAGTCTGCTCAGGCTAGCTATGCTCGCACTGGAAATCTGCATGGTAGGATAACCAGCATAACATAACTGCATGATTCAAGAGGAGTTACTGGAATGCAGGGTTTCTGTAGTCTTTCAACAAAGTCTCTGTTGAAATCGCTTTGCATTTTATGAAAGACAGCTAGAAAATAAAGTGAGACTTAAAGGAGCAGTCAAATATTCTTAGAACGTTACAGTGAAATAATCACATAGAAACACTTTGTGCATAAAGAGGCTAACTTGTTCAATAGACTTACTTGTCTAATAACAGTTCCAGTTGGGTGATCCAAATTGATGTACCCTTCAAGTATGTGTCCTCTTTTTCAGACAACTGCCTCAATAAACATTTTTTTCTGCACTGGTGCCTGGAGACATCGGTCACATTTCAAGTAATTTTATGCCATATGGTCATTTCCAGATATGGTGCCTTGCCTTGAAGTGTAAAAACAATCTAAGGGAAGCGTAATTTGTGGTGTAAAGAAAATTAATCTATTCCTTGCACCAAGGGGCAAGGTGAACACACCTCAGATTCTTGGCAAGTGTTTATTCTCTTTAAGCAGTGTCACTTTAGAAACTTAAACCAGACTGCTTTAAAGCCTAGTGTGAAATGTAGATACTGCTACGATCTTGGCTAACACTTTTTCATGTATTTTAACAGACGACCCAGCTAGGAGCTGTAATCAAAATCAGGCAAAGCAACACCATGTATCCTGAGGTCTTATATAAGAAAAAGCAGTCAGTTTTACTGAGAATAAAGCTGCAAAACTGTTGTGCCTTGTGGGAGAAGAGAATCGCCCTCAGTGTAGACAAGGTTCATTCTCACAAGCCCTATGCTTCAAAAGGCCAAATTTGTCAAGTGGCAGTACTTTTCCTGCTATGATTATTCTGTCAGCTTTCTAGTGGTCTTCTCCCTGTTTCTTACTGCTCTTAAAAACTTCCACAGGTCACAAGGTACCTTCTAACTTAATTAATACTATTTCTTTAAGTGCTGGCCTGAGTGGCTAAGAATGCACATGACTTTGTTTAAAATGAGATTAGTATGAATTTGATTAGCTTGATAAGTGGATTTCTTTTTGGCCTCTCTAATCTGCCCTTGTTTAATGAAATGTGCAAGAGCCTGGTGAAAACCTTGCTTAGGTCCAAGAAAGTTCTGTGTTTGAAAACTGCTTGTCTCCCAGTTATCTGTCCAAATGAAGTATAGTTTGAATGCTCTCCAGGCCCAATGGGGATAATAAGGTTTTTCTTAAGCCAGTTTTTCTTTTTTTCTTTTCTCTTCTTGTATTCTGAAGATGCATGGCTTTGCTCAATAGTTGTTTTGTTAAGTAATTACCATATTTGAATTGGCTTTCACTGTTGGGGATAAATTTCACTTCTGGGGATAAATTCTACATTCTAAAATAGTCTTGTATATGGGATGAAGATATGCAAGCTGAAGAGCAAACAAGGGTTTCTGAAGCATTACTAAAACTTGTATGGAAAAAATAAAAGGATTGTTTGCATAAATGAGGAACTGGAATGCTGGCAATGCTGGTCCTTTGTCAAGTTAACATGACTTTTCAAGGCACTTCTAACCACTGTTAGTTTGTGGTTTTTTAAAAGATATCTTTCTAACCTGCCAAATACTTTATATAACTCAGAACTGCTTGAATTAAACATTCGTTCTAGAGATCTGCAAACACTATAATAAAGTCCATTTTGGGGATTTTTTGGGGGGTTTTTTTGGAGGGTTGGTTGTTTGTTATTTTACTTTCTTTTTCTTCCCTTTCTTTTATTTTTCACTTTTATAATAGGCTAATGTCTCAAATGATCACTGGCCATCCTTGGTTCAGGAGGCAACAACTGAAGCTTTGAAACTTTCTCCTTGCCCCCTGGCAGCTCTGCTTCAAGCTCTGCTACAGTATAATCGCAAAATGGGAGCAAGGTATGTGTGATCTGATAAGTTCTAAGTGGAATACACTGCCTAAAAATACACGTGGTCATTATCCCCAGATTTAACTCCAAGAACTAAAAGAAAATTGAAAGCAGGAATTAATTCTTGAAATACTACGGGAGTTAAAAGGGAGAGGAGAGAAAGTAGCGTGGGGAGCAACTGAATCTTCCTCTATTTGTGGCAAAAAAAATGCATATGACCTTCCTACTAAGAGAAAAACAGCTGTAGGATAATTTTTATTTTAATAGCATGTTACCTAAATAAATTAATGAGGAAGACTACACACTCTTAAAAATGCTGTAAAATAGCACAGTGGAAACACATATCACTACCCTGTATATTGCTGAGATTAATTTTGATCCTGAATTAGGCTCCAGTCAAAGTTCATGCCCATTCCTGAACAAGCAAGTGCTCACTGTGGCTTTTTGAGGAAGGGTACTTGGAATCTTTCTATGTAGTGAATTTGGTTGTTAGATCTTTTATAATATTTTTGTTTAAGATATGGGAAGTTGGAATTTTTTTATGGTTTTGTTCAATAATTCATCTGTTTTGTAGATAATTCTGACAAACTGGCATACTTTCTCCATTGGCATTGCCATTAAGAAGGCAGCCTAATGGGATTTTGATAGTTGTCAGTTACAGTAAAAGTAAGATAAAAACTTATTTAATCAATTAAAATTGGTCTTACTACAATTTCAGATATTAATTTATGTGAACAGTGTATCACAAGATCTAATTGATCTGCCTAGATGTTTCAAAATCCTGAAACATGAAATTAATCTTAAATACAAATAACAAACATAAAACAGTTAAATCACAATGTACTGGGAAATCACATTGTTTATAATAGACAGAATAAAAAGAACAAGAGTCAAAGCTGATGGAGCACCAATGAATTATTTTGAGACTCCTAAATGTAATTGGCAGTTTTTGCCAGATTTCTAATGACACTGTGAATTTGAAAATGTATTGGTTAGATATAAACTGTTGGTGTTGGAAGGTAGTATCAGCCAAATGGAACTTCAGACTTCGTGTAATACTCTATTCTAATTTCCTTCTCTTCTGCAATTTCACATCCTGTCTCTGTGTTTGCAGGAACTGCAATACCTTTTGTGAGAGCCTGGGTTAAATATATTTGTGTATAATGTTAAATTCTATTGGTATCACTAAGATTCTAATACCTGCTTCTTTCAAGTGCTCTGTCTTCCAAAAGATTTATTTCCTAGGTCTTAAAGAGGGAAATACCTGCTGCACTTGTTCAACAGATTACATACTGAAATAGGAGATTGTGCTGAATTCATAGATATCATGATGTTTATCATGTTCTTGTAGCAGTTGTAAAATCTTCTATGTCAATCTAATTAGGGTTAGTTACTAGTTAGAGCAGTAACTTGAGTGTAATATATTGGCCATAACAATGAAGGCAGAATTCCTTAGCATTCTAGATGCAACTGCATAGGAAACAAAGGGATGTACAACTCCCTCACTTTCTTGGGCAGTATGAAAATATGTCCTTATATTACTTCTGACAGTTATTGCTTGCTCTGGTATGTTACATGCCGCCTAGTCCGTTGCATTTCATTTGGATTATGTTATATTTCTAGGGAGACTCGACGAATGTTGGAGAGAGTGGTTTATCAACCAGGGAATCCAGAAACCATAGTGTCGGTGGCACGCTGGTACCTCCTGCAACATCTGTATGCCAAAGATGATTGTGAATTAATAGATGTAAGACAGTGTATTTTATACAGAAATTCAATCTATTTGCATTTAATATTACACTTACAACTTGAAAGTGGGTAGAAGGAGGCTAAAAAGGTTCTGGCTTACCTGCACTTAAAGTGCGATGTATAAGGGTTCTATATTGAAAAAAGATACTTTTGTTTTTGAAATTTAGACTAGTTTGTTTGAGGGTCTTCCATTCCTGCACACAATAATAATGAAAAATAAATAGTAAAGTGTCTACTCCAAACTTGGAAGAATTCTACTAGTGTCTCTTCAGGGGACATGAGGACCATTTAATCAAAATTTTACCAGGACATACAAATGTACCAAAAGATACACCCTCTAGCCTGGGTGTAGCTTGCAATATCCCTGACCCAAAAGATCTGATCTGTATGTTCTGTATTGATGATTTTATATCTGTAATGGTACATTATTTCGGTACATAGTAAATGGTACATTAGTTTCTGTTGACGGGACTTCACATATGGATTTGGCCAAACTTAAAAATCCACACGGGTCTTTCATGTAATGCAAATGGAGAGTCGTTCATTTTGACTTGTAATTGGAATAATTTCACTAGTCAAACTCTGAATACGCTCTCCTAATAACCTCCTCACTGCAGCTGCTGTCACGATGAGTCTTTTGCCCAGATCATTAGCTGTTTCCTGGTGAATGTTTAATCCAATACAAAGTACATTTGGAGACACAGCATATAAATAGGCTCAGCACTGACAAAAATCCATACAAAGACATGCAGGTTCATAAAAAAAGCTAGAATTAATGATTTCAGATGATTCTGGTATGATCTCATTGCACTTCCTTCTGCAAAGTCATCTGTACTCCCTACCAAAGAGTATGATGATAATGACTAAAGATTTGCTTGATTCTACTTAATGGTTTTCCTTTTTAATATGTGTAATGTGATTGGATTACAAGAGAAATGCCAGAAGCTTAGGAAGATTAGGCTGTTGTGTGAGTATTTTTAACTGTTAGAAAAGCTCCAAGTATGGTGTATGGGGAAAAAAATCAAGGAAATGTGAATTTTAGAGGGGGAAGAGAAAGAATATCTGTCAAGATTTTAAGTTGCTGCAGAAAATGCTCCAATCTTGCAAATGGAGACTTATACAAAGGTACCAGCAAGAGACAAGTGTATGTTAGCAGGAAGATAGGTCTCATCTAGCTCCGCTTGTTTAATTGCCAGCAGGTAACTAACTTGTCAAACTTGGTTTCACTGTCAAGTAAAACATGATGCTGTTAATAGAGCATTGGTAGTGACTACAGGTTTAGCAAGTCACTGTAGCGTGAAGTTTTGATCTTCTAAGAAAGCTGATGTGTAATGTTCAGTATTTTCTATCTGGGCTTTATGGGTGAGGTAATCTATTATAGAAACTGTCTCAAAGGAATGAAAATACATTTGAGATAGCCAGTAAAATACTAGCAGTAAAATCCTAATTTCTCAGTTTTTCACTGTTTGTTTCTCTATGCAGGTGCTTATAGAAAATGCCAAAGCTAATGGGGATGTTAGAGCTCTGGAACTAAATGAGAAGTTGTCAGCAAGCACCTAATATGGACTGTCTGAAGCAAAATAATCTTCTATTCATCTAACTCAACTAGTCCACCTTCCAAAAGCATATATGGTTTGGGCTATTGTATTTGTTTATGTCTGGTTTCGTTTTTTTCTGTTTCATCAACTGAAACTTTGTCCTTAGTTTTACTTCTTCTTGAACAAAAGTAGGCTACTTTCTTGTTGAGTTACATAACCCTTAAAATCACACTTTACTTTGAAAACAAAGTCCTGACATTTTCTTTTGTTTGCTTCTTCACTTAAACTTCATCACTATTCACAACAGAGAGTATTTGTCTGTATTTTCCCCTTGACCACCCACAGAAGTACAATATCAACTGCATTGGCAGTGACACCAGGTTTTCTTGGCACAGAATCCTAAGAGTTAAGTAATAGCAAACTTTTCTCTCTTGGTAATGCAGCTGCTGACTGCACAATTGGATGAATGATGACAGAGATTCTTAAGACATGTTATTATTTTGACTTTATGTACATGAAATTAAATAAATTAAAATAAAAAAGCAGTGACTCTAACCTGTTAAAGCTACCATGAGGATTCTCACTCTGTTTCAAGAGTCAAGATACCTATCTGTCTTCTGGTTTAAAGCTTGTTAAAATTTCCGTCCAGCGAATCTTACAATGGCTTATATGATCCCATATTAGAGGGAAGAAAGGGCACTTCAAAGGCATGCAGTGGGACTGCACTGAACATACACTTGCTTTTGGAATCAGTTGTTCTAGTCTTACAGAAAACAGGATGCTGAGCTCGGCTGTGCATCTCTACAAGTAGTCATGCACAGTGATCTCTGGAGAGCATGCCAGTGTCATTTTAACAGGAAAAGTAATCTCAGTTGGCTGGGGCTTCTACTCTGCAGAGGTGAGTAGCAACCTCTGACTGGCAAGAATCCCTTCTTTCTTATCTCTTATCTCTCTCACTCCCTTCACTCCTTATCGCTTTCATTCTCCCTCCCTTAAAAAGATTATTTACTGTAAATTTAGATCGTTTGTGTTTCCCTTCACAACCTGGTGTCACATAGTCTTGAACTGTCACTAATTGCAAATATTAAAAGTGTTGCCTAAAGAGACCACTGAGAAAAAGACTCCAGGCCAATTTAGTGTAAAGATAAGATAAAAAGAGCAGGTCCTTTAATCAGGCCTCAGGCCCAGGGGAATATACACAATATGCGCCCCAGACAATGGTTCTATGATTTTATAATAAGGTCCATCCAATCCCAGATCTATCCAGCCCCCGGTCCTGCCCAGTTCTGCCCCCTGACACGCTCCTTCAGGAATTGGATTTGAGGAAGAAGGGGTCCCAAAGACCTCATCTTCATGTTCACAGCACATACAGTCCTTGGAGCTACTCCAGAGTTCTGGGCTTAAAGATTGCTGTGTCTGTGTGATATCTTCTGGTCCAGGCCTAGCATGCGATGTTCTTAAACAGAGGTGTTTTTCTACAATTCTACCTTGAAAAGAAGACTAAACACACTAACAGAATTTAGAGGGAATTTTTGACATGAAATGGGGTAATAGGGTTGGGTATATATAAACTATTATGTTAAAGGGTAAGGGATATAAGACAGCTACATTAAAATCTACATTTACTACACAACTACTTTTAAAATCTACAAAAGTTAAAAAATCCAAAAAGCTATGACACATCAAAAGGGAATGTTACGAAAGCCAGATTTGTGACTCTCAAGAACAGCTGTAACTTTTTTTAGCTTGCTGCTATTAAAAACCTGAAAAAATTCTTGCAGCCTATGTTTTGTATCCTTGGCATATGGTCTTGATATGTGTGCCTCCCACTCTAATGTCATCACCAGCCTGATGATAGCATGGTAAGCGACTGCCTGCCCCTGTGAATCCTTCTGTGTGAGCCTATACTTTGTTAGCACTAAGCCTTAAATACTTTCTAGCACCCTGAAGAACCGACAAATGACGACAGACCAGAGAAACCAGTTAAATAACCATCAACTGTGAATATTCTGTATTAAGGAAAAAAGTAGTAGTTTTTTCACTTCAGAAGATCATGAACTTTATTGTGAACAGGATGAACTCCTTGAATAAGATAATTATGCACCCTGAAATTGTATTACAGGCCCTGTAGGAAAAAAAAAACCCAAAACACAAATGTCTACCACCTACTCAGTGAAAAGTGCTCAGGGAACATGAGTTTAAACTTAAGCTTCTGTAACATTCAAAAACATGAGGTAAAAATCTTGCTGTCATCATATTTTAACAATGTCCCAACAAAATTGGCACCTTGTAGCAAGTCTGCAGTAGCACTGAAAAAACTGGGGAATTCATGCAAATTGAAGCAACCCTATATTTTATAGTGTTTTATACTATTGTAGAGCTCAGCAAAGTAATGAACTAAGGCACATAAGCATCACTGATCTGGGGAATTGAGAATTGTTTATTGTTTCACTGCTTGAGAAGTCATACCTTCAGCTGTTCTTGCTGTAAAGGAAAAAATAATCATTCTCCAACTGTAATTTATTATGTTGGCTTATGCTGAAGTCAAAATGGAATGAGATCTAATGAATTTGAAGGCAGAACTTTCCGCTGCTTCAGATAGAAAGGATTTCATATGCTGCTTATATTTCCTTTTATATAAACAGGAGAAAAAAGCTTCCTTCTGAGAATTTTATTGATTGATTTGTTTATGCATCCCTTCTGTTTCCTGAGAATTGCTGGATTTGATTTATACTCCACCTTTGAGCTTCTCTCAGAATGGTATCACAGTGAAGAGTGGGCAATTGCATTAATTTAGAGTGTCTTCCTAACCTTAGGAAAACACAGATATGTTCTCTCTCCTCAACGTTTTTGTTTGACACCTTTTAACGTCCTTTTAAATTTACAGAGTAAAGCCCATGAGAACTGTTTTAATAGTGCACAAGGCACCCTTCCAAGAAGTACAACCCTAATTCTGCGGCCCAACTGAATATCGCCCTGGATGTCTAGAATTTACCTTTCCTTCTCCCAGTTAATTTGCCTTCTACTGATTTAACTGAACAGCTGTCTGTTAAATAACTTTTAAAATTAGTGTTCTAAGGGGAGAAATGGATCATTTTGAGTTTGGTTGCAGTGTGGAGTGACAAATACTGAGATAACTCCTTTATGCAGGAAAGTCACTCAATAGCAATATATAGAAATATATATTCATGTATCATCTGAATTTATAATTAGGCCCTGAAACCCTTCTGCTTTAATTATACAAATCAGTGCTTAGATAAAACATTTGTGTCATACTGCCATGTGAAAGGATGGATGGATAGATGATTGATAGATAAATAGAGATAGGAAATATGCAGTGATACTTCTGTCCTTTGCTCTCTTTTATGGTTAGACTCTGGTGGTTTGGTTTTTTTCCATGCTATGTGCTTTTAGAAACACATTCATCAATGACCTTGTATTTCACCTTTTTGGTGTTCTTCAATATACTGAAAAGCATAGCATTCAGGGTTCTCAGTGGGGGATAGATACACCAAACCTTACCAACTGCTGCTTCACTGGCAGCCAAGTACATGGACAAAAAATGGCAAGCCTAGAAGGATCTAGAGATGGGCATTTTGGGATGCTGCCCTCAGCCCCAAATGTTTTGCTGTTTTGCACTAATGGACTTCAGTCCTATAGTGAAGGCAGAACCCCTGCCAATGGACCAAACATACAGCAGAACTAAAATATGGATATAGAGGAGCTCAGAAATGACTGCATGTTTTTGAGATTTCAGTGTTGTTGGTTTCCTGCTGCTTGTAGAAAATGTGGCAAACACAGACCTGGCCTGAAAGCAGAGCGTAGTGCTGAGAGTCTTTCCCGTGCAGTTTATTTCCAAAGAGCCTGACCACAAACGAAATGCAGAAAGGTCATCTGCAACCTTTGTTGACTCTTACAAGATGTGTGTGATTTCTATGACTTTTAAATCACTGGAGAAGGTTTAAAAGTACTAATGTTTTTGCCTGCAGGAGCAACATGATTAATTGCTGAAGCAACATTCCCTACTAACTGCATCGTTTTGCATTCAGCTGTCATGCTGTGCAAGCTTGGCATCTCAGAAAGGCCACCTGCAATTCATGGCTTGAGAAACCTGCCTTTCTGTAGAGCAGTAAGCACAAGGGACTTGCAATATGAATTATTAGAGGATGGTTATCTACTTAAATCTTTTTCTCTGTGCAACAGATGACTTTATAGAAACAAAGGTACTGTAGAAATTGAGGTTTCTATTGCAATTGTATTGTGAACACTTTTTTTGGTCTGATAAAGAACTGTATTAGCTTCTGTTGGGAAATTATACTGGTATGGTTTTTTGTCCTGCTCTCACAGTTTTTCTCCTTATTTCCAGACTGTTTTAATTTATTTTGAAGCAAACCAAACCTTCAAACCACCACTAACTTTTATTCAATAAGAGAAGATATGTTCCTCTGATTCTGTCTAGGGGCTTGCACATGGGAGACTGGGGCTACATCCGCCCTCTTGGAATTGCCTCTGGTCATTTTTCCATTTAACTCCTGTGCCCCTACTGATAAAGCATAGGTGGATTTTCTATCCCATTTACTCTTGTCTTCTCCATGTTCATAGGAAAAACCACCAGTTGCCCTATGTAGTGTTCCCTTTCTGCCTAGCCAGGGGTCACCTGTTCTGGATAGCAGGGCTTCAGTTTGCATTGGCAAGGCATGGAGAATGCTCTCTTTAAACTCCTCTCTTTTGTGGTCATTTTTTACTTCCTCAGTTAGTGCCCAGAGGTCTGCAACTAATTTCTCTGCAGAAGAGTTATGGTCCCACAGTGGGGCATGGAGGATCTCATTATATATGTCCATAGAGCCCACTGTTTCTTGGTTTTCCTTCCACTGCACTGTTACCAGGAGATCAACATCTATGGTGGCCCTGCATGTTGAGGTTCCACCACGTCTGTGATGCTCACTTGACCTTGTCAGGGTCACGATTGGATTGCTTGTCCCTTGTGAAAAGTATCTCTAACAGTGCCATTTCTCTCAGGCAGTGGATCCCATCCTCCATGGTCTCGCAGGTGCAAAGATGATGCCCCTGCAAGTTGTCTGTGAGCAAACCTCTCTTTATGCTTTTTAAAAGCCTTGTCCAGAGATGGAGGAGTTCTGACTCCCTAGTTAATACCCACATCCTGAGACAGAGAGCCTAAATACCTTGCTTTGCTACTGCCAAGCAGTGCACCTTCACCTATAAGATCCTAGACTCAAATCAACCAAGTCAGAGTGGGTCTATTCAGTCCTTGAGTGATGTCTTTCCACAAATTGTGGAGATTATCAAATGAAAGGGATTTGGTGATTATTTCTGGGTCTGTTATTTGTGAGGGTCTTGCCTCCCTATCGTCATCTACTGAGTGAAACAATTTGGTCTTGTATTTTCTTTTGGATAGGGGCAACTTCCACTGCCTTGGGTTGTCCTTCTGGTTTTTTACACTCTGAGTTGCCATGGTGTCAGGCATTTTGTTCTTTCTTTTCCTCTTGAAGGTGCTGCACCAAGCAGCTTTCGGTAGCCAGAGCTCCACATACAACCACAAACTGCCCCTCCATAACTCTACTATGGCACTTTCCCCTTACCGATCTCAGCATCTCGACAGGGTCTTGCAGTTGTTCAGGGGTGAACTTCCAGGTCACTGGAGCAGAAACATTCCCCAAGAACTTACCCATGTACTCCCACAGCCCATGCCAATCGAAACTCCTGAACACATTCAGACACCTCTTGGTCCTACCTTCATACATAGATAGAGCAAAACATGCAAACTTCCAAACATCTCTAAGATCCAGAGGGAATTTAAACTCTTCGAAAACTGTTGTAGCGAACCTGAATGAGAAACAGCTCAAGGACTGGGAAAAAAATGCTCCCCTGCATTTATTGCCAGGGATAACAGCTTAGGTTAGGGTAGGAAAACAACCCTGAAAACACATTCCAGGGGAGACTTACAGACATGGAATTTACACCACCATGAATCCAAGTTACAAACTGAGTAACAGCCATAGCTACCTCGGTCTTAAGCTCTACCAGGGGAGGTTTAGATTGGATATTAAGAAGAAATTCATTACAGAGAGGGTAATCAGGCATTGAAATGGGCTGCACAGGGAAGTGGCAGATTCTCCGTCCCTGGAGGTTTTTAAGATGAGACTGGATGTGGCACTGAGTGCCATGATCTAGTAACCACAGTGGTAGTGGATCAAGGGTTGGACTTGATGATCTCGGAGGTCTTTTCCAACCTGTCTGATTTTGTGATTCAGTGATTCTGTGAATGGAAAATACAGATGCAGGAATACATGCTAAATAAACAGGAATAAATTGCACAACCTGATGCCTGAGGGGTTCTATATCCAGTGCACAAATGGGTTATTCAAAACTGTTATCCTTTTTCTGCTTTTTCTGTGAATGCCCCACACTGGGAAAGGGCAAATTAATCCCTTGGTTTACTGACAGTATGTCCTAGGATGTAGGACGTCTGATAGAATAGAAACCCCCTCCCCCAAATTAGGAAAATTTTGAAATTATGAGGTGTATGAGTGAAGTATGAAAAATTAATATCAGTTTTACTAAAAACAGAGAACAGAACAGAGTAAAAACCAAACAACAGCAGAGAAAATGTCACCCAAAACCACTCCTTCAGTTTTGTGCCGCCAAGTTGTCCCAACCCATTCACGCGATCACAGTGTAGCTGGAGCAGAATTGTGGCTGTGCAAGCGGGCCACACATTACAGGTTCACAAAGGGGAGCTCCTGAGTTCTTCCA